GCCTCGCTTGACATGGGGATTAGCCTAGGTTGGTGGAATTCAATGATTATATACGAAGATTGAGCCTGTAACTGTCTGCCAAAGAAATGAGCAGAAAACACAAACATAAGACTTTGCAAAAAAAAACTTCAGACCTATAAATTGTTCCTGTTCTGAAGTCATTATAAATGGGGGTAAACAGGTCAAGAGAAAGGGTGGAGGTTTACAATGGAAACTGTGCTGGAGGACATTGGGCAAAGTGCTACCAAAACAGCTACATGAAGCCATCATTTCACATAAAGCTTTTTAATCTGTTGGGAGCCTGTGAAGAAATAACAACGCTGTAACTTCAACATCCAACCGGGAGCAGGAACCTCTAGGTTATTGTGTTCATGTGATGCTGCTTATAAAACGTCAACAAAGGACCCAGGCATTCTTCCCATTATTTTGTTGGTGTTTCTGTTTTGCAGTAAGTATGTGTGTGTGTGTGTGTGTGTGTGTGTCCACCAGGTATCCACCCATCAGTGTTGTGCTTTGCACAGGAGGTTGGTGGCACCTTAATTGGGGAGGACTTGCTTGTGGTAATGGCTGGAGCGGAATCAGTGGAATGGTATAAAATACATTAAAAACACATGGTTTCCATGGTTTCCATGTGTTTGATGCCATTCCATTCACTCTGTTCCAGTCATTCTTATGAGCCGTCCTCCCCTCAGCAGCCTCCACTGGTGCTTTGAGACGAGTAGGGAGAGGTTTTCCACTACCATTAAGCCAAATCAGGACACCTTTCATTGAGGTGTTGCTTTGAGAGCGAGTCGGTTCTCGCTGCCCTGCACAGAGCCAGTGTTTTTATTTATTTATGCCAATGTCAGCCCTTTTTAATGACATGGGGTCTGCATGCACTCTCAAATTCAAGCCAGACCATAAGAGAGTGGTCCCGCCACAGACGCCGATCCAACTAGCCCCCAGAGGGTCAGTAAAACAGGGAATGGGCTCCAACATGAAAGCTTGCCCCCGAGGATCTAATCACCCCCCTGGCCCCCCTCCCCTTCCCCAGTCAGCCTGTGTGCTGCTGACCACAAGAAAGGACCTAGGGGGGAGGGGGGGGGGGCCTGAGGGAAGGGGAGGGGATGTGGGGCCGGGGTACAGATTGGGGGAGCAGCTGGCTTGCTCAGCTGGAGAGGTAGCGGCCCATGGCAAAAAAATAGGATTGTGAATTTGGCATGATTATTTGATTGCACTGTGATCATGAAAAGATGTTGCCCAGGCATGCAGCCCCACACAGTACAGTACACATCCTTTTCCAGGAGGGATGTCACAGTATAGCCTTAAGCACCCTCTGTTTTTTAGTGCTTCAGTGAATCCAATGCAGTTCCTATCCACCAAGGAGGGAGTGAGGAATACAATATGCTTAGTGAAATATTTTATGGTCCACTGAAGCTCATCAATCAAGTGCTGCAGTAGGCAAACTGTTGTCTCCATCCCTCGATGTTTTGGTATTTCCCCATTTGCCCTCCATGGGGGAGTCTTTGAGGTTCACTCATATGGAGAGTCAGCACATCAAAAGTCCCTCAGTTATATATAACCAGGATTGCTCTCTCTCTTTTGTACCAGGTGGTCTCAAGGCCAGGAGTTGGTCACCACCGGCTGGTCTAACTGAAAGAGATGGCTTATGGGCCTTTTGACTAGCTTATTAGCCTTTGTGAGTCATTCTCTGTGAGGAGGCACTGTGGTCATGTGGAGGGAATGGGATTATTCTCCAATGATAACACATCACTTGTGAAACTCAGCACCTGTGATATAGTAGCTGGTTTAAGTAAACTTATCAACATCAGCATTTGATATCGCACACAAGGGGATGTTTTTGGTCACACTCCACATAGCATCACTAGGTCTTGGTTCATCTCCCTTGTGATCTTGGCGTTTGGTTAAAGCTACAGTCTGGGATTTGCGATGTATACCAAAACAAGTGTGATGCGGGGACCCCAGTTTATAGTTTTTCTAATCGCAGACTGTAGCTTTAATGCTGTAGCCCAGCTGCAAGTCATTGAGATGAGTAAGCATGTCAACCTGACAAGAGATGTAACAGTCTCACATAAATGCCCTGGATCACCAATTCCGTCCCAAACCTCAACAAACTAAAAGTGGGTGAATCATACTCATTTCCTCCTCGATTAAACACCCCAAGCGATGCCACACACTGAGAAGAAATGAACGGGTCCAGTTATAGGCTACATAACCACAGAGTAACTTTGGACACTAGTTCTAAATGAAGACCGTGTGCTGTGTACTGATGTAGGATCTTAATCTGATCACCCTATTGCAGGAGAATTTACCTGTAATGCAGGAAATGTAAAATGTGTAGTGTATTTGAGGTTTAAAAAGGCTTCTGAAGTTTCTAATTTCCACTTTGAAATTTCAGACTTGATTTTCCTTTACGAAATATGTATTAACCCCTACAAAAATGTCCATTCATTATAATCCACAAAATAATTCAAATGTTCTGTTCCTGATGGATTATTTTCTTGCTGTAGCAAACTGGCCCTAATGAAAATCCTATATCTGTACAGTCTGGAATTTGGGATGAATACCAAAACAAGTGCATGGTGGGGACCCCATTTTGTTGTTTTTCTAATAGCAGACTATAGTTTTAATGTTGTAGCCCAGCTGCAAGTCATTGAGATGAGTAAGCAGGTCAACATGACAAGTGACGCAACAGCCTCAAATAAATTCCCTGAATCACCAATCCCATTAGCCTTACAAAGCCGACTGATCCTGTGAGCTTACATTAAACGCTGCACAGATAGTTCTAAATTAATGCATAAATAGACAGGCCATGTCTTCAGCCCTTGTTTTCACAGACCTTGCGCTGTGTATTGACTTGGAATTGAAGAAAAGTGCCTGTATCAGTATCAATATTAAATCTCTAAGAGCCTTGGGGGTATTGTGTAACTGTAGTGGTGCTCCTCATCAAAGTCACAAACAGGACACAAGTGGCAAATTAATAGGGCAAAAGGATAAAGAGGTCAAAGACCAGGGCAATCCCAATGGAATTGGGCCCCTGTAAATACACCAACCACAGCACAAAGAAAAAAAACAGAGACACATACACAGAGACACCAATTACCCACCATCATAGATGAGAGGCAAACATGCTGGTTTGCTCTGTACCAAAAACACATCAAACAATAGTTCTGTCTGCTTGTGCATTTTTCCTGCAGCCCACAGGTTCAATTTGCTTATGATACCCGACTGATGTTTCATGAATGTGTCTCCTATGGCGACGACGCTCTCCAGGCATTCACCACCACCTCAGAGGCTTCAATTGCAAGGAATGTATGGAAACTATTTACTAGCCATCCATCCTTGAGATTAAGGCTTAATGGAACGCTTTTTTTCCATCACTCTTTGTGTTTATACTTAACCATACTTTCTACCTTCTCCTAATACAGTATGTGCTTACTGTAGTTATTTTTCTCTGTCTGGCCAAGATTGCAGTACAGCAAACCGTAAACATCGCATTCATTATTGGTTTCTATAAACAAAACAAGTGCTTAATTGAGATGGATTAAACTCCTTTGACTCATCACATATGCTGCTGCTACTGTTTATTATACAGTATGTCCTGTTGCCTAGTCACTTTACCCCTACCTATATGCACATATCTACCTCAATTACCTCGTACCCCTGCACATCGAGTCGGTACTGGTACCCTGTGTATATATTTCGAAAAGATTGTTACTCATTGTGTATTTATCCTCGTGTTATTATTTTTCTATTTTTTCTCTCTGCATTGTTGTGAAGGGCCCATAAGCAAGCATTTCAATGTTAGTCTATACCTGTTGTTTACGAATCATGTGACAAATACAATTTTATTTGATATGCTTCAATAAGGGTTTTATAGAACACACATATTAAAAAATAAATGATCATTAAGAACTTGGGAGTTGTTATTATATTACAGAACATTGAAATGGCATCTTCTTTAATTTAATCACAGTTTGTTAAATTGCTGAGGATGGACTTATTTTCCGCTGGACTTTCAGCGTCATCAAGTGGCCATCAAAGGCAATACATCAGCGAATGACCGATAAAAGATTGTCATATTTTCCTATTTGGCTACAGTAAAGTGAGTACGGTTACATGCACACAATAATGCGATTATTGTGACTAGTCATATTAATATAATAGTTCGATTAAAACGTTTACATGCTTTGCAAGAAGAACGATTTCCCTAATAATACTGTTTACATGGACACATCTGAAATCAGGCAACCTGATAGCACGCTGATAAATGAAGAAAATCGCCAATAAAAATAAACGATTTACCACAGCGACCATGTTATATTTGTGAAGCATATTTTATTCTGAGTTCGGACATATAAAGTTTATATGTGAAAACTACTTCTAAGACGCATACAACCACTTGTTCCGAAGCTTATTATAGCTGAATGTTCCGAAACTCACTTCACTCGCGTTAAAGAGGGAGGCTCGCTCAGCTGGTTCTACCACATGCACAGATCAAATACACTGCTGGAAAGCCGATTCATGTGTTTATATGTCCTAATCATTTTAAAGATTGCTCAGAAAACTGCAGTATGCTGCAAATACTGCGTCCAAAATAACACCGTTTTTTGGACACAATGTAACTGCAATTAGAGTGCAGTATAAATGCAGTTCAACTGCTTCCAAAATACCACAGTCGACTGCAGTTACTGCACTTTTACTGCAGTTTCAAAACTGAAATATTTTTTTGTAAGGGATTGGCTAGTTCAACAGAGATTTGGGGACACTGGAACGTCACTAAAAGCGTGTCATGCTTGCCTAATCTTATTTTGCAGTCAGAGAAACATCTAGAAAGTTTTCATAATCTGTTTACCGGTTCTCTACAACTGTAGTCAGATAATTAGAATTAACAAAGTACCTATTTTGTTTGTAACGTGATTGTAAAAAAAACAACAACATTGTACTGAACTCTAATAAATCGGTAATCAAATTTGAAAATTATTTTTACACGAGTGGTAATTTTACCTACCGGTATACGCATGCGCTCAAGACAATCCACACAAGGTCACTGGCACGTGTGCATGCTGTCATCAAGACCCATTTGCGTTACAACAGCCGTTGGAAGAAGAATCTTTATATAAACGACGACAAGTTTACCCTGGCAGAAACAGCTTGAAGTGGTCAAGAACATTATCTGTATCAAAAATGGCAAGAGGAAGTCGCAGTGCCAGTCGTTCTTCGGCACCAGCCAGGTAATGTGTTTTGAACGATTATGTAACCGATTCAGATGACTGTTTATTACAAATTACAGCCTCGTTTGCTTAACAAATTATAGTACATACCTATTGTAATTGGATGACACACAACTGTTTTAGAAATGCAGCCTAAAACTACTGCCAAATCACTTTTACACTTTTCCTAATAGCAGAGGTCCTTGGCTAAATTTGAGTGGGTCATTTTTCAGTTGTTGACCCCAAGGGCACTGGGTAGGTCAACATTTCCTAGTAAAGTTTGCACAAGCCAAATACCAAGTTATGCCATTCAACTTCAATAAATGTTGATTCTTATTGTCATTCAGAATATGTTTTCCTGCCTGTATTCATCCTAGATGATGATAATCTATGTGGGTGCATACGATTAGAGCTCAGCTGCTTACTAATGTATCAGGTAATGTGCAAGGCTGCCTGATGCAACAAAATAACAATTGTAATCAGTGCAAGTGATGTCAGAGAAAAATTATGTTGCATCAGTCTGCCCCCCCCTCCCCCTTTAGGTATGTTGCTGTTCCATTTTAGAGGCCATGTTGGCTTCATTGTGTTTTTTTAAATTTCCAGCTCAGCTCCGGCCTATCATCCCCCGGCCCAAAATGCCCCGGCCCCAGTCGCTCCAGCCCCGTCAGCCCTGGCTGTTCCTGCTGCACCCCAAGGACCCGGCCTGATGGCCCAGATGGCCACCACCGCGGCCGGGGTGGCAGTGGGCTCTGCCATGGGCCACGTCATGGGCAGTGCCCTCACAGGCGCCTTCAGTGGTGGCAGCAGCCCTGAGCCAGCCAAACCCGCCGCCAGCACATACCAGGTGAGCAGGGCACGAGGCCGCTGAGAACCTGTGAACGAAAGTAGGCAGTGTTACAATACTCCTAAATGGCTTCCTATTCTTCAGAAACATTGACAGGTGATAGGACTAGATTAGTTTCCACCGTAGGTTATTGCTTTCACCAAAGCAATGGACTAGAAGGAAGTTTTGGTCTACAGTGATCCCTCGCCACTTCGCGGTTCACTTATCGCGGATTCGCTATTTCGCGGATTTTCATAATGCATTTTTTTTTTTTTGGTGCATTGTGCTCTGCATTCTGATTCGCTAAAAACTCACTCCCGCTTCTTGTATCAAAACATGCTACGAATTGTGCTATCATTTTGTCGTCTCGTGCAGTTATGTGTACGTACATAAAACAGCTTGGCAAATTTACATTAAGTTGGCCAAATTATCTTGTAATTTCGAACATCTCCTAAACCCATAATGTCGACGAAACGGCCTGGACCGACAAAAGCACCTGCGGATGGGCCCAAACGGCGGAAGATGCTACCTATCTCAGATAAAGTTAAACTTCTGGACATGCTAAGGGAAGGTAAAAGCTATGCAGCCGTTGCTCGCCATTACGGAATCAATGAATCTTCCGTTCGTTACATAAAGAAGGAGGAAAAAAGAGAACACTGCAGAGCGCAGTCAGGATGCAGCGGCCCAGTCTGAAGAGCAGTGAAACGGCCTACACGTGAGTCACTGTATTTGTATACATGTAATAGTTGCTAATTGTAAAAAAAAAAAGTTTTCTATTTCGCGGATTTCACTTATCGCGGGTCATTTTCGGAACGTAACCCCCGCGATAAACGAGGGATTACTGTATTCAGGTTGGGACGTTGTACTGGTGAGGTCTTCCCAAATTCTTACCTATATTCAATTTGCCTGACAAAAAGGTATGTTGTCTGGAAAGAACAACAGCCAAAAATAGGATGTACTGTTTCTGTCTGTTGTTCTGACAGTACTAAATTTGGTGTGGCCGTTGGACAGCAGAGGATGTCTCTGAAAGGCATTACTGACTTTGGCAGCCATGGTGAAGATGAGCTATAGCCCTAAGTGATTTGACCTCTCAGCTTTCAAATTTACATTTTAGAATTGAACCTAACAACGTTGTTTAACATTGAGTATTGTGCGGGTGAAGAACCGAAAGAACTCTGTTATGTGTGCAAAACACAGATGGAGGGATCTTGGGTATTTAAACATGTGACGTCTCAGTTTGATTTCATGTCTGAAAATAGAACTAGACCTGTCCTAGAAAGCTGAAGAAAGGAGTTTGGGCTAATTAAGCTCATGCTAGCTACATTTACATTTCAGTAATTTAGCAGACGCTCTTATCCAGAGAGACTTACAGGAGCAATTAGAGTTAAGTGCCTTGCTGAAGGGCACATCGACAGATTCACCTATTCGGCTCGGGGATTCGAAGCAGCAACTTTTCGGTTACTGGCCCAACGTTCTTAACCTCTAGGATACCTGCCGCCCAAGAAGTGTCACAGACTCCTTGATGTCAGACATTGAGGCTAGATTAACATTTACATTTACATTTTAGTCATTTAGCAGACGCTCTTATCCAGAGCGACTTACAGTTAGTGAATACATATTTTTTTTTATACTGGCCCCCCGTGGGAATCGAACCCACAACCCTGGCATTGCAAACGCCATGCTCTATCAACTTAGCTACATCCCTGCCGGCCATTCCCTCCCCTACCCTGGACAACGCTGGGCCAATTGTGCGTCGCCCATGAGTCTCCCGGTCGCGGCCGGCTGCGACAGAGCCTGGATTCGAACCAGGATCTCTAGTGGCACAGTTAGCACTGCGATGCAGTGCCTTAGACCACTGCGCCACTCAGGAGCCCAATTAACACTGAGCCAATTTAATCTGGTGCTGACAGTGTTACAATATCTATGCCTAATAGTTGCAAACAGTGGAGGAAACTATTGTTTAAAGGAAGCATGGGATGTCTTGAAAAGTGACTTGACTCCAACAAGAGTGGTTCTTGTATTTATTCTATGTTATGGGTGATGAATTTGACAGCGCTAAGTATTAAATCATGTCAACCTGCCCGTGAGGTTTTGGATGCTGAACATCATGTAGGCCTAGCCATAGCAAAGGAAGGCTCTAGATACACAAGCAACATTTTTAAGCTAGCTTGTCGATACTGTTCTATGAAATCTCTGCAGAACCAGTTTAGAGGTGCACTATGCAGAAATGTAACAATAATTTCAATTTGCCATGATTTTACATGAAAGAATACAGCTTGGAACCAGTCACTCTTCAGTAAACAAGCACTTTTATAGCTTCAACAGTGTTTAATATTTGAATTATTCGATCAAACAATTGCACTTCTTCACTACTATATCATAGATATAAAGGGCAGGTGGAAATGTTGCACAATGTACCTGAGATAGCATGGAGATTTAGATCATGACTGTCACACTGTAGTGAAATCAGTGCATGTTAATGGTAATGCAGATGTCTACAGTACCTTTGACAGGTGACTTATTAAGCGTGTGTGTCTGTGCCATTACAGGAGGCCCCTCGACCTGCCTCATCCCAGCCAGGCCCATGCATGTTTGAAGTGCGACAGTTCCTGGACTGCGCCACCACTCAGGCTGACCTCAGCTTGTGTGAGGGCTTCAACGAGGCGCTCAAACAGTGCAAGGGCTCACACGGTAAGGCTCTCGTTAATGATTGGTAGCTAGGAATTATGAACAATCAATTGTATCACAGGACACTTGGTTAAACCAGTGACTTTGAATAAATAGAACATTAATGTCTACTCAATTTCCACTCAAAGGAGTAATTCTGTGGTATAACCAAAATATATTTACATTCTTATTTTTCTTATGTTATTGGGGGTGCAATTTGGATTGTGATACAGTATTTGTCAGATCTAGAAGATCAGAAGTTAAGACTTTGCTATGCGTATTTCAACACATGACACAAGACATGGGTGTGCTTGCTTTGTTCAGTGTCTTACATGTGCTTTTTTTATTTAAAAAAAGATATCCTTTTCTGAGCTCTAACTATTTTGGAATATGATTTGCAGATAGTTATTTTACGAATGACTTGACCTTGTCTTTGGTTGTTTTTCCTTCAGGTGTGACATCACTGGTTTGAGCGAGGGTGTTGGGAGTCAAAACAAGACACCATGTTCGGATGAACACCTACTGTAGACAGATGAGCCACTCGGTCATTAAATAAACTCTATTCAACTAACTCTCCACTATTACAAGAAAGGAATTATGTTTGTTCACTGTTGACATGTAAGGAAATGTGTGCTGTATGATTTTTTGGTAATGTATATGATATTGTGAAATAAAGAGCTGCTGTTTACTTTCTGCTAGAGGCCTGTTCAGTCTTTCACTTTTTTTAAAGTAAGGATGGTCAGATACCTTGGTTATCCATCTCTTAAAATGACCCTGTGAATTAAGTGCTTCAGATGAGGACAATGGGCATGTAGGTGATGGTATCCAAGTGGGTGTATAGATGAGAGAATTAACATAACAATGCATTTTTCTATGTCCAAATGTAATTAGTGTTAAATTTGTTTAAACATTAAATACATTATGAAATAAAGCTTTTTTAATTAAAATTCCAAAGCCAAAAATAGTGAGCAAATGCCCTTATGCTTATGCTATTCAATTGCCAAAACATTTAAAATATTCCATTGTCTCTGTCAGGTCCACACTGGGTAGACATCAATAGAAAAATAGAAAATTACTATGAAATAATACAATATTTCAATTGTGTATACGACTTTTATTTGACTGTTTTTCATTCCTTAAAGTCATCATATCATCTCTGCTCAGGCAGTAGTAGTCTGCCAGCCAAACCTAACGTTATCTATGTGCTCCCCATACTGTGCTGTCTTTAGTCATTCTATTTAGCTAGGCTAGCCTGCCTAAATAGCCTACGCTGCAAAGCTCTCTGATCCATCGCCGAAACGGGGAAAAATGGCGCAATAGATTATGGGATTGTAGTTAATTACCACGTTTCTGACCTGAACTAGGTTGAATACCGGTTTAATGAAAAGTACAACTCCCTTTAGCCCAGCGTTCGTAAATTTAATCGGGTGTGTTCGTAAATTCAATCTGGAGTGCCAGAGTGCGCTCTGGGTGTTCGTAAATTCAGAGTGCTGGCAGATTGTCCATTCGTAAATTTGGAGCGTTCAGAGCGCACACTGGACGCTCTGGCCGGGGAGTAGAGTTGATCCGAGCGTTCTGACCTCACAACGTTAGTCAAGCACCCAATCTATCTGGCTAATGTTGGCTAGCTTGCTAGCTACTTCCAGACACAAATGAGAGAACACCTCATTCTGACAATTTCACTCACCGTAGAAGAGCTGGTTAGGCTGTTTTCATGTTATCCAGAGCGTTGGTAACTGTAACTGTGCTGCTGGCAACAAATTAATGAAGCTTTTTTGACACCGGCCATATCAAAGGGTGTTGAGTGTTCGCAAATTAATCAGTTATTCTGCGCTCTGGCACACTCAGACGAGTGTGCTCTGAAATCGGAGTAGATAGCCAGAATGAATTTACGAACGCACCCTTAGGGTGTGTTGATAAATTCACTCTGGAGTGCCAGAATACACTCAGAGTATGCTCTGTGCATTCGTAAAATTCAGAGCGTTGTCAGATTGTCTGTTTGTAAATTCAGAGTGTTTCGCTCTTGGAGCGTTCAGAGCGCACACTGGACGCTCTTGCCAAGGAGTAGGCTTGATCACAACAGCAGTCAAGCACCCAAGTTCTGGCTAAAGTTAGCTAGCTACTTCCAGACAGGGTGTGTTCGTAAATTCACTCTAGGTATCTACTCCAATTTCGGAGCACTCTCGTCTGAGTGTGCCAGAGCGCAGAAAAACTGACGAATTTACAAACGCTCAACACCCGTTGAATATGGCTGGTGTCAGTAAACGTTGGCAAAAAAGCTTAATTAAATTGTTGCCAGCAGCAGTTACAGTCACCAACGCTCTGGATAACATAAAACAGCCTAACCAGCTCTGCTAGGGCGAGTAAAATGGTCAGAGTGAGGTGTTCTCTCATTTGTTTCTGGAAGTAGCTAGCAAGTTAGCCAGTTAGCTTGGGTGCTTGACAGCCATTGTGAGCCCAGAACGCTTGGATCAATTCTACTCCTCGGCCAGAGTGTACAGTGTGCGCTATGAACGCTCCGAGAGCAAAACTCTGAATTTACCAAAGGACAATCTGACAATGCTCTGAATTTATGAATGTCCAGAGGGCACTCTGAGCGCAGTCTGGCACTCCAGATTGAATTTACGAACGCACCCTATGTTGAGAACACCTCCCTCTGACCATTTGTCTCGTCCTAGCAGAGCTGGTTAGGTTGTTTTCATGTTATCTAGAGCGTTGGTGACTGTAACTGTGCTGCTGGCAACAATTTAATTACGTTTTTTGCCGACCTTTACTGACACAGGTCATATTCAATGGGTGTTGCACGTTCGGTAAATTCATCAGTTATTCTGCACTCTTGCACACTCAGATAAGAGAACTCTGAAATCGGAATAGATAGCCAGAGTGAATTTACGAACGCACCCCTACATAAACTGCGTGTTGGGCTCACAAAAATAACTACTACATGGAATTCAAGTAATCGAACCGACATCGGTAAATTAGTTGTTTAATTTCTCAGCACTATTCTCCACAAAGAATATTATATCTGAATAAAGTATATTATCAAATCAAAGTTTATTTGTCATGTGCACAGGATACAGCTTGTGTAAACAGTAAAATGAAATGATTACTTGCAGCTCTTCCTCAACTGCAGAATAAATGTAAAGTAGCAAAGTCAATCAATAGACAATACAAATAAAACTAGCAAAACAGTTCATAAAAAAACAAGGTAATAAAACCAATAATAAAATAACACAATAGTTTAAAGATGCACTATGCAGAAATCGCTCTGCCATTTCCTGGTTGCAAAAATTCTAATAGTTCACCTAATTTCAGTTTATGTGTCAAAACAAGCAAGTATAGTGTAGAGAGTAATTGTACCATCTAAACAACTGTGAAATATATTTTCCCATAACCAAAAATGTTGTGTTTTTAGCTGTTTGAAGCTGGTGTACAAAACCCAAAGTAAAAGAAGCAAAACCGAAACTTAGGAAGGGGAAGCATAGAAATAGCACATATATAACAGATCTACTGCTTCTTAAACTTGCTTTCAATGAGAATGTCAGATCTATAACACACATTTCTATGTGAATTTGGTCGGGTCGCCCAAAAAGTTACATATTGCAGCTTTAATGTCAAAATTCATAAAGGCTAGCAAATGTCCACAATTTATTAGGATTTTATGCCATGGGTTGCTATCAAATATAACGTGAATAATGCATGGGAACCTGGGTGGGAACCCGACAAATCACAGCTCCTGAGGCGTTTCTCTACCGACCAATGAGCAAAAGAGAAGTGCAATCGTGAACACTTGCAGTAAACTGACCTTTCTAGCCGTCTCATCTGACAGAACGGTCTCTTTACAAAATCATCATGCCGTTCATTGATTTAGAAAGTAACTTACCTGCTAGTAAGTTTTCTGAGGAGTTCTTGAAAAAGCTGGGGTACCAAACAGCTGCTATTCTAGGCAAACCCGAAGAGGTGAGTTGGTAGCTCTGGTCCACTGCGTTACTGTGTTTAAAACGCTACTGAGTGAAGTTGTTACAGTGTTGCCTCACTGCAGCTAAAGAGCAGAGGTTACAAAATATCACCAATACGACACATTCTCTATCGAGATTGCAGTTAGCTGTATGTTAGGTAGGTTATGCTCGTGTGTGTATTTATGTTGTCTTTTTTTAATGTAGAGAATGATGTTGGTGGTGAAACCTGGACTGCCAATGCTCATGGGTGGAACTTGCGCTCCGTGCGTGATACTGTCTGTGTCCGCCATCGGTGTCACTGACACTGCGGTGAAGAACAACGAACACAGTGCCAATATCTTCACTTTTCTTACTGGAGAACTTGGTCTTACTGAGGACAGGTTAGTAGTTGATATGTGGGAACTCCTTCAAGACTGTTGGAAAAGCATTCCAGGTGAAGCTGGTTGAGAGAATGCCAACCAAGAGTGTGCAAAGCTGTCATTTTTTAACATTTGACATTTTAGTCATTTAGCAGACACTCTTATCCAGAGCAACTTACATGAGCAATTAGGGTTAAGTGCCTTGCTTAAGGGCACATCGACAGATTTTTCACCTAGTCGGCTCGGGGATTAGAACCAGTGACCTTTCGGTTACTGGCACAACGCTCTTACCCACTAAGCTACCTGCCGCCCTGTCATCAAGGCAAAGGGTGGCTATTTGAAGAATCTCAAATATAAAATATATTTGGATTTGTTTAACACTTTTTTTGGTTACTACATTTTACATTTACATTTTAGCTGATTCCATATGTGCTATTTCATAGTTTTGATGTCTTCACTATTATTCTACAATATAGAAAATAGTAACAATAAAGAAAAACCCTTGAATGAGTAGGTGTTCTAAAACTTTTGACCGGTAGTGTATTTACTATGTACTGTATTTCATTTGATATTGCATGAATATAATATTGCATTTAGTAGATATTAATTATAGAAACATGATTTTTTTGTATATTATTTGCATTGCATGAACCTAATTATAGGTTAACTTGTATTCTCCAGGATCGTGATCAGGTTCTATGCACTGGAGCCACATCAGGTCGGAAAGGAAGGAACTGTTATGAGTTACCTGTAGGAGGCACTATGGACGACAGAGTGACTTCAAGCATCCATTCCACAACAGTTGCCATCGGCGAGAACAAACCCTGCCAGTGGATTTCCACCACTCAATTGGACAAGAGTGCCACATGTCATCATTAAGACTTGTATTGCATTTTATCATAATGGAATTTGATCCCATGGAATTTGACCCAATGACACTATGCCCTGGAACCAGGACTTGTTCATTTCAATTACTGTACATGTCTGCAATAGTAAACCAGGGATGTAGCTCAGTTGGTAGAGCATGGCGTTTGCAACGCCAGGGTTGTGGGTTTGATTCCCACGGGGGGTATGAAAAAATAATGTATGCACTCACTAACTGTAAGTCGCTCTGGATAAGAGCGTCTGCTAAATGACGTAAAATGTAAATGTCAACCAGAACCACACATTTGACAAGCTAGATGATATAAGAATATATTCGTCTGAACCTGATTAGAGGAAATGTAAGTCAATTGACCTGTATTCAATGTTATTACTATGTCATTTCAACTATTCATTTCATATCACAAGAACATTGGATAATGTGGTTGAGATTTGTTTTCTGCTGTTTTGGTAGTAAGAATCACAATGACTAACATAGATGATAGACTAGTATTACCAAGTACTTTCAGTACAAAGGAAGCTAAGTAAATGTCATACTGTACCACAGCTGTGAAACAGCATTCTATGCATTTGTTGAGTGTAGAAGCAGATGAGGACATTACACACTGTATGCTGCATTGGACTAATATGCAGACGGTATTTGTGAAGGGCTGTGCTCAGTGAATTTCCATATACTGTATTCCTTTTGAATTTATTAGGCTCACAAGTATCAAGAAAACGTTGCGAAGGATTTGCTCTACAATTAGTCATACATGAAGTAAAGATACTTATATTCTCACTTGAGTGTCCCCACATGACTCCAAATTATTTGCAGAATTTAATGTCTTGTAGATATTTCTTGACACTCAACAGGAAGAGTGGAAGTGTGTTAAAATAATAGAAGATGTGCTTAAAATGTGACATTGAATAGCTAGATATTTAGGAACAATGCACTGTAAACCAAACCAATGAAGTGCTATCTTTCCATGCAATACTGTCCACTACAGTCCAGTATTAGGCCTAATCTTGTCCAACAGCCATGTACATATGAAGGAAAAAAATATATAAATATATTTCGACTGTGTGCTTGCTGTCCATACATAATACAATTTAGAATTTATTAGGATCCCCAATTAGCTGCTGGATTAGTTTATTAGTATACAGTAATGTCCTTTTGTTTGAATGGCAAGGCAAATGAAAATGATCTTGCTCATTCTTGGTTGGCTTGTGTTGAATTCAGAACAACATCCCTTTAATCTTGCTGTATGCATCTTTCAGGATGTCGTCTGCTTCTCCAGGTCCTCTGAGGGGCCAGGTAGAATCTCTCCTTAGCTTTATCCTTATTCATCTGCTTGGTCAGTAGAGCCCCTGAGCCTCCTCTCTCTAGCTCCTCATCATTAAGGATGTGAAAAGACAACCAGGGATGCATTACTTTCTTAGATTGAGAATTACTGCACAGTGATTCCTACCCATCTCCCCATATCAGTCAAAAGATAAGACTGTGTTACCTACCTATATGTTGTTCTGTAACACCTCAGCAAGACTATTCTGGTTCATCTTCATCAGGATCGCCATAGTGATTGTCCCAGCACCGCACAGATTGTAGGTCTGCATCATCTTATCCACTGTGTCCATCCTGTCTCCATTCTCCAGCCGGCTCTTTGGGATGGGAGGATAGCCCTTCAATACACCCTGAGTCAGGTGCCACTGAAATCTCTTCAACTCTTCAGACGCCAGTTGCTCCATAATGTTAAGCAGCAGATCCGAACTGATCACCATGGTTGATCACTACACACAGTACTTTAGAACAAGTATAAAAACTGGTCAAACTTTGACTGAAGCACCCTCTAATAATTGGTTTTTAAAAAATATATAGAAAAACAATACAACCTTTTAGTGTTTATTGAGGCAAAACGTCTTACCTTTTTGGTATCCAAAATAAGCTTTTCTCAGTGCCAACGTGTCACGATTGCAACACCCTGGGTTTACTTTCACTTTTGACACCAGGAAATATCTGTATATGAGTACACTCTGGTGGGAAACAACTCGCAAACTCCTTCTTCCTTGGGTGTGTGTGTGAGAGAGAGAGACAGCGAGAGGCAGGTTTGTCAGACTGAGGGGTCTGTAGGACTGCCTTGTTTAGTTGTGAAAAATGCTCCTCTTAAAAGCACATGTTATTTCAGAAATAAAAATGTAAATGAAGGACCAATAGGCCTACAATAAGTGATTAGAATCAGGGCCAGGTTAACATTGTGGAGCGACTTACAGTTAGTGAGTTTACAGTATGAATACAGTACTGGACAGGGCCTTGCACAGATTGAAGAGTAGTGGACTCTCTCCTGTACACTCTTCCACTGATCCTTGATTAGTATTGAAATGTTTCCACAGTTCCTTCAATTCAATGATGGACACCACTGCTGAAAAATTACTATAAGAACCCATGACCAACCTTGCATCATGTAGACCAGATGACAGGCTACACATCTCATAATGTCATATATGAGAAGGAAAAGGCATGAGTGGCAACCACAGAAGGTAGAGCTGACAACAATTAAAACATTGGTTTATTTTAAGGACCACCCTGAGCCTGATTTAATTTGTTGGAAATGTCCCCTACCAACCAGACCTCAACATTGACATGGTGGCTGGAGGAGGTAGTACAAACTCCATCAGTAAAGAAAGAAACCTGTAAAGAATAAAAAATAAAAAATACATTGATATCTACAAGACAACATTGATGATCTGGAATTTTTCTATAAACCGAAACAATATTGGGGCTGGGAAACTCTGATATTGATCAGTTTTGCAGTCCTATTTTCATCACATAACTATAGTCTGTCATTAACATGTGTGAATGTTGCTGTTTGTTTATAATCTACTGTGAAAGCCACTTGCCACAGCTGACAAAAAAATAAAGTTATTGTATTGTATTATTTTCTATCAGTTATTCTATCAGTTCAGTCAGTTACACTGCATTCTATAATTCTATTATATTCTATTCTCGTGGCTGTACCTAAACGTGACTTAATTCACAACAACTGTCTTATCAAGGCCTGTGGTTCCCAACCTTTTTATCTTACTGTACCACCAACTGAATTTCGCTCTGCCCGGAGTGCCCCTGAAGTACCCCCTCATGTGCATTTTTTCAGTAAGCCTATGGTCTTCTCATGAGTCTTCTCAAGTACCCCCTGTGGATAGGTCAAGTACCTCTGGTTGGGAACCACTGATCTAGGCTATTTTCATATTTAACTGGGCCACCTAACTACTGCCATCACAATCAAAAGTGCAGCCAGGATAGTCATGGCTAGAAGGGATCCATCCAGCTTTTGTCAAATGAACGTCAAAAGGTATTTTTTTTGCATTTTACCTAACCCTAACACTTTTCCTCACCTTAACCTAATTATCCTAACCTGCTGCGTAAGTCCTTCTAACCATGACCCCAGGAGAGGAGCGAGCGACCTCCAACCAAAGCAAACTTGTGTCGGCTTGGACGGTTTCTAGGGAACCCGTTGCTATCAACAACGTGGACCATAAAACGTCAAGGTCAGCTCTTTGCTCCAATCACAGACCAGCAAAGTTTTGAATCAGCCAATCACCTATCAGAATGCTAGTCTACCGGAAGAATGGTGTTTTGGAGGACGCTTTGCCTGTGGAATGAAATGCTAGCAAGCCAATTAAAATATATTTCACAATATATATAATAAACAATTTCGAGGAATATTTGGGTTTTCACATGGTGAGTGACTTCTGATGTTAATGCTACAGTAGATACTTCAACTTATTTTTAGCTAATCAATTTGTACACATCGCAGTCTCTGTCTTAGCAGAAACTCGGTTAAGCCAAATAGCTAGCTAGGCCATTTACATTTAAGTCATTTAGCAGACGCTCTTTTCCAGAGCGACTTACAAATTGGTGCATTCAACTTAAATGTATTGTGGTATCGACTGTATTTTTTAAGCTACTTATCTATCTAGATTGCTAGTATAGTGGCTATCTAACTAACTACTTATCTTTTGATTGCCAGATACAATCTCCAACTAAACAAGAATCACACTTTGTTTGTTTACACTTGCCCCCATTTCATTGAGGTTTGTGTTTGATGATGGAACCAGGGAAACTGTCCCTTATCAAGTCCTGCTTTGCACCAAGTACTCTGTTCCTGACAGTGCTTATGATTCTGCCTCCCTTTGAAAAAGTCTCCCTTTGGCTGAGTTTGTTTGAAGGTGTGGTAATGCTGGGCCACAATAGAAAGGTTGAGCTGAAGAGGGAGTTATTTTGTGGCCTTTGCTTAGTTGATACACTGCTTTTTTACAGAAAAAATAAATGAGTACCCGATCAATCTCACCACCCCTACATGTGCATGTGAATGAGACCACGCCTGTGCATGTGCATGTGAAGAAGAGTAGGAGCCCTGCCAGGACACCACAGGTTGGAAAAACCTTTTCAGGCAAACACATTTGAAACCGTTAATTAGTTGTCCTAGTTTCCAATCCATACAGTTCTGATTCAGGGCCTGAGGTGCTGAACTGATACGAAAAGAATGGAGAATATGTTCTACACTGTTTCCAAGGGTCTCTGAATGTATACTCCTTTCTCTTATGCTATTTGATACTGTATACCATGCACTACATGTAAAGGCATAGTGTCTCCCTTGAGTTTCATGCTGTCTGTTTTTTAGGGTAGGACTAAGAGCGATGGAGGGAAACTGCGACCTACTGCAAAGGTCAAAACACGAGTGCCGTGGATACCGCCTGGGAAGGCCTCCATACGGGATGCCTCCTACAAATGGGAGGTCTGAAATGCTCTTCACTCCTTTTATCTTGTCTGTCTATTTATCTTAACCTCTATGGGATCGGTGTCACGTATACAGGACGGTTGAGCTAACATGTGCTAATGTGATTAGCATGACTGTTGTAAGTAACAGCAAACTTTCCAGGACATAGACATGTCTTATATGGGCAGAAAGCTTAAATTCTTGTTAATCTAACCGCACTGTCCAATTTACAGTAGCTATTACAGTGAAAAAAGACCATGCTATTGTTGGAGGAGAGTGCACAACAACAAAAAACTTATCACAGCAACTGGTTTGATACATTCACCTCTGAAGGTAAATAATGTACTTACGTTCAGCTCTGATTTGTCATCCTAAGGGTCCCAGAGATAAAATATAGCATAGTTTTGTTTGATAAAATCAATTTTTATATTCAAATGTAGGAACTGGGTTCTACAGTTTGAACCCTTGCTGTCTCTGGCTCAACACACACACCGCCCGGCAATCTAGATGTGTGAAAGTTAGTGTATAAACTACCATCTAGATGTGTGAAAGTTAGTGTATAAGTTAATGATCCATCATGTATGACATTCCTGGGAGTGTAAACTTACATTGTATGTTCTCTATAGTTATGTACTTGAAAATGTATCAATTGACCAATTCGGCAGATTTGGGAAGACTTGATACAAAATAGTCCAGTATTGCAATGCTTCACTGGATCAATCTGAAACGTTGCGCGCACACTGCTGCCATCTAGTGGACATTTTCTAAATTGCGCCTTTACTTTTTCTTTTTTTTGGTCATTTTAGCAGACGCTCTTATCCAGAGCGACTTATAGTTAGTGAGTGCATACATATTTTTATTTTTCATACTGGCCCCCCGTGGGAATCGAACCCACAACCCTGGCGTTGCAAACACCACACTCTACCAACTGAGGTACATCCCTGCCGGCCATTCCCTCCACTACCCTGGATGACGCTGGGCCAATTGTGCGCCGCCCCATGGGTCTCCCGGTCGCGGCCGGCTACGACAGAGCCACTCGGGAGTACTTGCATTTCAAAGATGATGGAACAAAAAATAGAAAACACATGTTTTTATGTTTGTATTATCTTTTACCAGATCTAATGTGTTATATTCTCCTACATTAATTTCACATTTCCACAAACTTCAAAGTGTTTCATTTCAAATGGTATCAAGAATATGCATATCTTTGCTTCAGGTCCTGAGCTACAGGCAGTTAGATTTGGGTATGTCATTTTAGGCCAAAATTGAAAAAAAAGGGTCAGATCCTTAAGAGGTTAATTTCCACTAATGCAATGTATCCATGTACCTATTAAAGCAATGTCTCATGAAAGCACTCATTTCAAGACTCTCCTATCAACCCTTTCAATAATGTGTTACAATGGATCAAAAGAAGCGATGTTGCCAGAGTCTGTGGTCACTGAATCTATTCATGTCTCAGGGGCCGACTCATCGTCTGGAGATCACACCATTACCTCAGCCCGAGACCTCCCACTCTCCTCTGCGATTTGCTGACCTCTCGTCAGAGGAGGAGGAAGTTCTGCATGGACGAATCAACCAGTACGAGAGGAAGATTGACAGCCTGATGACTGAGGTCAGCTCGTTCAAAAGTGTGGTCTGTCCATCCCATAAAATTATCCTTAGGCCCGGATGCACATGTTCCCTACCTCTTGATACAACATTTATTTAATCTTATAAGTGTGTGTGTGTGTGTGTGTGTGTAGGTGGAGCTGCGGAGGAAGGAGCAGCTGCTGGAGCGGCAATCGGAGAAGCTGAGCACCTCCCAGCGGGTCATCGAGGAGCAGGAGGAGGAGCTGGCCGAGGTGGCCAATGAGCTGGAGGTCACGGAGAGGGAGAACTCCCGCCTGCGCCACTCCATGGAGAAGATGCTGGAGGAGACCGACTGCACCAGTAGGTATGGACCAGACAGACACACTTGAAGCCATAGTTTATTAACATTTAAATTAATTTACTTTGTTTTCCTAACGTTCCAGCTTTAACTTATTTTTTTCCCATGTATTAAAATTATATACAGTATTTTATGGACAGTGTTAGTCAGAAAGTAGAGAGGGGAACAGATAGTGAGTGGCAGACAGACAGGAAGGGCCTAGGTGGGATTCAATACCCTGTTGCCAGCAGGTATGTGTAGTCCAGAGTTGACTGTGATGATGAGCCTTGATTCTCAGATGCCTTTAACCCATCAATTGTCTTTAAAATAAAAGAAGGTATATTTAGTAGTTATTTATATACAGTACCAGTCAAACGTTTGGACAGACCTACTCATTCAAGGGTTTTTCTAAATTTTTTATTATTTTCTACATTGTAGAATAATAGTGAAGACATCAAAACTATGAAATAACACATATGGAATCATGTAGTAATCAAAAAAAGTGTTAAACAAATCAAAATATATTTGAGATTCTTCAAACAGCCATCCTTTGCCTTGATGACAGCTTTAAACACGCTTGGCATTCTCTCAACCAGCTTCACCTGGATTGCTATTGTACATTTGTATACAATCACATAATTATCTCTATTATGCATGGGAATACTTTGGAACAGATTTCCACAATTAAAATCACTTGGTGCTGATTTGCTGGAGTTTCAAAATGTCCCTGCTACATGGTATTGGAATAGCTTTATGTAAAGTGAGTAAGAACATTTTAAGTGGATGATTAAATAAATAGCATTTAATTACTTATTGAGACCCACCCCTTTTTACAACAACGACACCCACATTTGTATAGGTTTTCCAGTATCTATCAGACTGACCGGAAACAACAGAACAGGTTTAGCGATCTTGTGCATTTTTAGCGGATTTCCTTCTCCATCCCTTTCTTCACTCTGCTTGGGAATATGTCTTGTGGGTATTAATCTTGTTCATAGCGATACGAAATGAGTGGTGCATTTAATTAGGCTAAATTGAATTCTGCTTGATTATTTGACCCATCTTCCTGACTTGACAGTCATTGTTTCCCACAGCCAGCAAGGGCATTAGGGTAAGAGATAATCACACGGGAAAACATAGATTTGAGATTCTTCAAATAGCCACCGTTTGCCTTGATGACAGCTTTGCACACGCTTGGCGTTCTCTCAACCAGCTTCACCTGGAATGCTTTTCCAACAGTCTTGAAGGAGTTCCCACATATGCTGAGCACTTGTTGGCTGCTTTTCCTTCATTCGGCAGTCCAACTCATCCCAAACCATCTCAATTGGGTTGAGGTCGGGGAATTGTGGAGGCCAGGTCATCTGATGCAGCACTCCATCACTCTCCTTCTTGGTAAAATAGCCCTTACACAGCCTGGAGGTGTGGTGGGTCAGACTGCACTTGAAGACTGTCGTTTCTCTGTGTTTATTTGAGCTGTTCTTGCCATAATATGGACTTGGTCTTTTACCAAATATGGCTATCTTCTGTATACCCCCCCGCGCCTTGTCACAACACAACTGATTGGCTCAAACGCATTAAGATGGAAATAAATTCCCCAAATTAACTTTTAAGAAGGCACACCTGTTAATTGAAATGCTTTCCAGGTGACTACCTCATGAAGCTGGTTGAGAGAATGCCAAGAGTGTGCAAAGCTGTCATCAAGGCAAAGGGTGGCTATTTGAAGAATCTCAAATATAAAATATATTTTGATTTGTTTAACATTTTTTGGTTACTACATGACTCCATATGTGTTATTTAATAGTTTTGATGTCTTCACTATTATTGTACAATGTAGAAAATAGTAAAAATAAATAAAAACCCTTGAATGAGTAGGTTTGTCCAAACTTTTGACTGGTAGTGTATAAAATCGGATAATTGTCAGGAGCCGAAAGTTAAGTTATCGAGAGCCACCAATGACTTGCGAGCCATGCAAAATATCACTGGCCTGTTATAATGTCATGCAATGAGCCCCGGTGTCCTGAATAAATTCCCAATCTGGCCATCATATGATCATGGCCACCTAATCATCCCCAGCTTCCAATTGGCTCATTCATCCCCCCTCCTCTCCCCTGTAACTATTCCCCAGGTCGTTGCTGTAAATGAGAATGTGTTCTCAGTCAATTTACCTGGTAAAATAAAATAAATAAAAACTGAGTGTACAAAACATTAAGAACTTTCAATGACATAGACTGACCAGGTGAATCCAGGTAAAAGCTACGATCTCTTATTGATGTCACTTGTTAAATCCACTTCAATCAGTGTAGATGAGGGGGAGGAACAGGTTGAAGAAGGATTTTAAAGCCTTGAGACAATTGAGACATGGATTGTGTGTGTGCCATTCAGAGGGTGAATGGGCAAGACAAAATATTTAAGTGACTTTGAACAGGGTATGGTAGTAGATGCCAGGCACACCGGTTTGTGTCAAGAACTGCAATGCTGCTGGGTTTTTCATGCAGAACAGTTTCCTGTGTATATCAAGAATGGTCCACCACCCAAAGGACATCCAGCAAACTTGACACAACTGTGGGAAGCATTGGAGGGGCCAGCATCGACAGCTTGTAGAGTCCATGCCCTAACGAATTGAGGCTGTTCTGAGGGCAAAAGGGGGGGTACAACTCAATAATAGGAAGGTGTTCTTAATGTTTTGTACACTCAGTGTATAATTAAGCAATAAGGCCCGAGGGTTGTGGCATATGGCGAAGCAACGCAGAGTGCCTGGATAGAACCCTTAGCCGTGGTATATTGGCCATATACCACAAACCCCTGAGGTGCCTTATTGCTATTATAAAGTTAAATAAATAAAAAGTAAATAAAGCAGTAAAAATAAATGTGGTATATGGTCTGATATACCACGTCTGTCAGCCAATCAGCATTCAGGGCTCGAACCACCCAGTTTATAATACAAATTTTTTCCCTTTCTGTGTCCCATATTCACAATTTGCCATTGCTCTGCCTCTCATACGACGTCTGCCTACACACCTGTCCAGACTAGAGAAGCCTATGGAGTCGATGCAGATGGAGAAGGACACACTGCTCAGGAAGTTGATGGAGGCTGAGATAGACGGGACAGAGGCTGCAATACAGGTGTCAGCCCTCAGAGAGACTGTCACCAAGATGAGGAGCGTCAGTGCCAGCGTGAGTGTCAGCAGAAACAGGGTTAGGTGGGTCAGCACAATTTCAATTCAGGGGGTGGATTGACATGCCAATTCAGACTATTTATTATTTTCAGAGGGGATATCAGTTAACTTCCTCAGTTGACTGAATTGAAATGGAATTGACCCCAACCATGCTAAGAAACCAATATAGGCTTTCAAAATGCATATGGTACAGTGAGGGACAAAAGTTTTTGATCCCCTGCTGATTTTGTACGTTTGCCCACTGACAAAGACATGATCAGTCTATAATTTTAATGGTAGGTTTATTTGAACAGTGAGAGACAGAATAACAACAAAAAAATCAAGAAAAACGCATGTCAAAAATGTTATAAATTGATTTGCATTTTAATGAGGGAAATAAGTATTTGACTCCCTCTCAATCAGAAAGATTTCTGGCTCCCAGGTGTATTTTATACAGGTAACGAGCTGAGATTAGGAGCACACTCTTAAAGGGAGTGCTCCTAATCTCAGTGTGTTACCTGTATAAAAGACACCTGTCCACAGAAGCAATCAATCAATCAGATTCCAAACTCTCCACCATGGCCAAGACCAAAGAGCTCTCCAAGGATGTCAGGGACAAGATTGTAGACCTACACAAGGCTGGAATGGGCTACAAGACCATCGCCAAGCAGCTTGGTGAGAAGGTGACAACAGTTGGTGCGATTATTCGCAAATAGAAGAATCACAAAATAACAGTCAATCTCCCTCGGCCTGGGGCTCCATGCAAGATCTCACCTCGTGGAGTTGCAATGATAATGAGAACGGTGAGGAATCAGCCCAGAACTACACGGGAGGATCTTGTCCAATGATCTCAAGGCAGCTAGGACCATAGTCACCAAGAAAACAATTGGTAACACACTACGCCGTGAAGGACTGAAATCCTGCAGCGCCCGCAAGGTCCCCCTGCTCAAGAAAGCACATATACAGGCCCGTCTGAAGTTTGCCAATGAACATCTGAATGATTCAGAGGAGAACTGGGTGAAAGTGTTGTGGTCAGATGAGACCAAAATCGAGCTCTTTCCATCAACTCAACTCGCCGTGTTTGGAGGAGGAGGAATGCTGCCTATGACCCCAAGAACACCATCCCCACCGTCAAACATGGAGGTGGAAACATTATGCTTTGGGGGTGTTTTTCTGCTAAGGGACAGGACAACTTCACCGCATCAAAGGGACAATGGACGGGGCCATGTACCGTCAAATCTTGGGTGAGAAACTCCTTCCCTCCGCCAGGGCATTGAAAATGGGTCGTGGATGGGTATTCCAGCATGACAATGACCCAAAACACACGGCCAAGGCAACAAAGGAGTGGCTCAAGAAGAAGCGCATTAAGGTCCTGGAGTGGCCTAGCCAGTCTCCAGATCTTAATCCCATAAAAAATCTGTGGAGGGAGCTGAAGGTTCGAGTTGCCAAACGTCAGGCTCGAAACCTTAATGACTTGGAGAAGATCTGCAAAGAGGAGTGGGACAAAATCCCTCCTGAGATGTGTGCAAACCTGGTGGCCAACTACAAGAAACGTCTGACCTCTGTGATTGCCAACAAGGGTTTTGCCACCAAGTACTAAATCATGTTTTGCAGAGGGATCAAATACTTATTTCCCTCATTAAAATGCAAATCAATTTATAACATTTTTGACATGTGTTTTTCTGGATTTTGTTGTTGTTATTCTGTCTCTCACTGTTCAAATAAACCTACCATTAAAATTAGACTGATCATGTCTTTGTCAGTGGGCAAACGTACAAAATCAGCAGGGGATCAAATACTTTTTCCCTCACTGTAGGTGCAACCTCAGGATATACTGTAGGTGTTGATATATGAAATTCTTTCATTTGGTTGGAAAAGAGGATGTCTGGGACTGAGTCTTCTCTCCTGGCGCGTCAGAAGGAGATGCTGCTCCAGAAACTGGAGACGTTTGAGGCCACCAACCGCACCTTGAGCCACCTACTGAGGGAACAGCACGGACGTGAGGTACTGGTACACCCTTCAGGCCAGTAGAGGGCAGATTAGCCTACAGCAGAGGAGAGCAACATACTTTTAGCCATAACAACATGATTAGCAAATATACTTTACTTACCCTGAACCATAACCCTACTTGAACCCGTAAGTTTCAACAACTTCCAGGATGGTGAAAATGCTGACAAGATGAGGAACCAATGACTTTCAGAAGCAGGAAGAGGCAGCAAGCCAATTACAACTCACAATCGTATCATGTGGCCCGAAATAAGGCACTCTTATAACTGCACTTTTACCTGTTGTGGTGGCTGTGTTTTTAACAGGTGGAATCTATGAGGATGTCAGAACAGAAAGATGTACTTCTGAAGAGGCTGACGGACACACAGGCAGAAAACTTGGTGTGTTTCTTTGAATAAGCCACTGTCCGTCAGCAAAATATTCCTTGAATTACGAATCACCAAAATGTCCTCTTCAAATTTTTTTTGCTCTTTAGGCAGCTGATGAATAGAAGAAGGTTATACTGAAGTTAATGTCTGTGTCATTCATAAAGCATACATTACACTATAAGCATATCATAAACATGGCATGTCATCACACAGAATCTTTTGGTGAAACTGCAACAGAAAGAGAGAGAGGTGACGCAACTGACTGCACTTCTGGACACAGAGAAGGTCAAGTACAGAGGCAGTAATGTGTCTCACACACTCACAGCGTGTTCATCAAATATATCGTTATTTGAATGATTATGATAATGTATTTGCTGTCTGTTGATGTTCCAGGAGAATGCTAAGACCACAGGCGAACTGTCTAAAGTGCTGGAGTCTACTCGGGCCCACTTGCAGAGCCAGTTACGCAGCAAAGAGGCTGACAACAACCGCCTTGTTGTGCAAATCAAGGTAGAGTAGAGTGACATGTTTGTTGTTTGGATTCTGTTTAGTACGTAATTCAACTTGCTCTGGAGCAGCTTCATTTTGCTATATTTACATATTTTGCCTATGCCTTGTTGTAAAATAAAAGTTAAAAGATCATTCCCACTACAAATATTGTGAGAAATAAGGTATTTTTGCTGTTTTCTTCTGCAGACACAACATTTCTTCCTGTATGTTTTTTTCATCCTCTGCTTTTGGGTTTTGTCAAGAACCTGGAGCGGGCTGCCAGTCAGCAGCAGGGGGAGATGGGTCACCTGCTGGAGCAGCTGCGGGGTCTGAAACTTCAGGCAGAGGCCGACAAAGAGGACCTGAAGAGGGCCACGCGGGCCCAGAAACACCGGGCTGAACGCAGCGAAGACGCCGCCGGGCAGCTCGGCACCCAGCTACTGGACGTGGTAGGTGAAGGGGAGGAGAAGGTGGCCTAGCTCAGTTTGTGTCTAATCTTTATCATTTAGAGGTGGTAAAGAGGTACAAAAACTGACCTTGAATCAGTGCTTAGGAACAAGATATCCCACAGAAGAATAGCTTGATGATTAGTCCACCTTTGTTAGTAATGGGCTAGAACAACAGCCAGATGTACCGTGTAGCTCTCTGGGGCCAGGCTTGAATAATGTTTAAATATATTGGATGATGTTGTTGATTTCACAGGAGAACCAGATGGCAGAGGCCCTATCAGCAGCAGAGAACTGGCGTGGTTGCCACACCCAGGAAATGAAGGACAAGACTCAGCTAGAGATGGAGGTCTCAGTCCTCAACAGGTGAGTGAAAGAGAGAGATGCATCAGTTGATTGACCACTTTCTCTCAGAATAAGAGGGAGCACAGAATCAAGCACAATCATGAATATGTCAAATGTAAAATATAGTCAAATCAAAGTTTATTTGTTGCGTACACAGTTTAGCAGATCTTATACTGAATGCAGTGAAATGCCTATGTTACTAGCTCCTAACAATGCAGTAAAATGTCAAAGAAGTACACAAATAATCAACCAAAATATTTATCAAAAATTTCTGAACAAATTAATTAACAACCCAAATAGCACTGTAACAGTAATCCAAATGCAAGCTATACATACAGTACCAGTCAAATGTTTTACAACACCTACTCATTCAAGGGTTTTTCTTTATTTTTACAATTTTCTAAAGAATCTCAAATATAAAATATATTTTGATTTGTTCAACAATTTTTGGGGTTACTACATGATTCCATATGTGTTATTTCATAGTATTGATGTCTTCACTATTATTCTACAATGTAGAAAATTGTAAAAATAAAGAAAAACCCTTGAATGAGTAGGTGTTCTAAAAAGTATTGGTCTTCACAAAGTTCGCTGCTTCAGTGTTATGAGATATTTTTGTCAGATGTTACTATGGTATACTGAAGTATAATTACAAGCATTCCATAACTGTCAAAGTGTTTTATTGACAATTATATTAAGTTTATGCAAAGAGTCAATATTTGCAGTGTTGACCCTTCTTTTTCAAGACCTCTGCAATCCGCCCTGGCATGCTGTCAATTAACTTCTGGGCCACATCCTGACTGATGGCAGCCCATTCTTGCATAATCAATGCTTGGAGTTTGTCAGAAGTTGTGGGTTTTTCTTTGTCCACCAGCCTCTTGAGGATCGACCACAAGTTCTCAATGGGATTAAGGTCTGGGGAGTTTCCTGGCCATGGACCCAAAATGTCAATGTTTTGTTTCGCGAGCCACTTAGTTATCACTTTTGCCTTATGGCAAGGTGCTCCATCATGCTGGAAAAGGCATTGGTCGTCACCAAACTGTTCTTGGATGGTTGGGAGAAGTTGCTCTCGGAGGATGTGTTGGTACCATTCTTTGATCATGGCTGTGTTCTTAGGCAAAATTGTGAGTGAGCCCACTCCCTTGGCTGAGAAGCAACCCCACACATGAATGGTCTCAGGATGCTTTACTGTTGGCATGACACAGGAATTATGGTAGCGCTCACCTTGTCTTCTCCGGACAAGGTGTTTTCTGGATGCCCCAAACAATCGGAAAGGGGATTCATCAGAGAAAATGACTTTACCCCAGTCCTCAGCAGTCCAATCCCTGTACCTTTTGCAGAATATCAGTCTGTCCCTGATGTTTTTCCTGGAGAGAAGTGGCTTCTTTGCTGCCCTTCTTGACACCAGGCGATCCTCCAAAAGTATTCGCCTCACTGTGCATGCAGATGCACTCACACCTGCCTGCTGCCATTCCTGAGCAAGCTCTGCACTGGTGGTGCCCCGATCCCGCAGCTGAATCAACTTTAGGAGACGGTCCTGGCGCTTGCTGGACTTTCTTGGGCGCCCTGAAGCCTTCTTCACAACAATTGAACCTCTCTCCTTGAAGTTCTTGATGATCCGATAAATGGTTGATTTAGGTGCAATCTTACTAGCAGCAATATCCTTGCCTGTGAAGCCCTTTTGTGCAAAGCAATGATGACGGCACATATTTCCTTGCAGGTAACCATGGTTAACAGAGGAAGAACAATGATTTCAAGCACCACCCTCCTTTTAAAGCTTCCAGTCTGTTATTCTAACTCAATCAGCATGACAGAGTGATCTCCAGCCTTGTCCTCGTCAACACTCTCACCTGTGTTAACGAGAGAATCACTGACATGATGGCAGCTGGTCCTTTTGTGGCAGGGCTGAAATGCAGTGGAAATGTTTTTGGGGGATTCAGTTCAGGAGGGACTTTGCAATTAATTGCAATTCATCTGATCACTCTTCATGACATTCTGGGGTATATGTAAATTGCCATCATCAAAACTGAGGCAGCAGACTTTGTGAAAATTAGTATTTGTGTCGTTCTCAAAACTTTTGATCACGACTGTATATACACCGGATGAATTTACACAAGATACACAATATATACAAAAGTATGTGGACACCCCTTCAAATTGGTAGATTTGTCAATTTCAGCCACACCCGTTGCTGACAGGTGTATAAAATCAAGCACACCGCCATGCAATCTCCATAGACAAACATTGGTAGTAGAATGCCCTGTACTGAAGAGCTCAGTGACTTTCAATGTGGCACCTTTCCAACAACTCAGTTCGTCAAATGTCTGCCCTGCTAGAGCTGCCCCGGTCAACTGTAAGTGCTGTTATTGTGAAGTGGAAACATCTAGGAGCAACAACGGCTCAGCCACGAAGTGGTAGGCCACACAAGCTCACAGAACGGGACCACCGAGTGCTGAAACGCTTAGCGCCTAAGAATCGTCTGTCCTCGGTTGTAACACTCACTACCGAGTTCCAAACTGCCTCTGGAAGCAACGTCAGCACACGAACTGTTAGTCTGGAGCTTCATTAAATGGGTTTCCATGGCCGAGCAGCCGCACACAAGCCTAAGATCACCATGCGCAATGCCAAGCGTCAGCTGGAGGGGTGTAAAGCTCGCCGCCATTGGACTCTGGAGCAGTGGAAACGCATTCTCTGGAGTGATGAATCACTGGTTTGGCGGATGCCAGGAGGACGCTACCTGCCCCAATGCATAGTGCCAACTGTAAAGTTTGGTGGAGGTGGAATAATGGTCTGGGGCTGTTTTTCATGGTTCGGGCTAGGCCCCTTAGTTCCAGTGAAGGGAAATCTTAAATCTACAGCATACCATGCCATTCTAGATGATTCTGTGCTTCCAACTTTGTAGCAACAGTTTGGGGAAGGCCCTTTTGTGTTTCAGCATGACAATGCCCCCGTGCACAAAGCGAGGTCCATACAGAAATGGTTTGTTGAGGTCGGTGTGGAATAACTTGACTGGCCTGCACAGAGCCCTGACCTCAACCCCATTGAACACCTTTGGGATGAATTGGAACGCTGACTGTGAGCCAGGCCTAATCGCCCAACATCAGTGCCCGACCTCACTAATGCTCTTGTGGCTGAATGGAATCAAGTCCCCGCAGCAATGTCCAACATCTAGTGGAAAGCCTTCCCAGAAGAGTGGAGGCTGTTATAGCAGCAAAGGGGGGACCAACTCCATTTTAATGCCCATGATTTTGGAATGAGATGTTCCAAAAGCAGGTGTCCACATACTTTTGGTAATGTAGTGTATACTAAGAATGATATGTACAGCAGTAGATCTGTTAGATTGAGCTATGTCAAGAATCAAGTATATAAATAAATATTCGGTGTTTATACACTGTGTAACTACAATGTAATGTACGGTAGTATAAATATTAGAATGAGCTATGTCAATAATACTCTCTTAAATACACAGTACAAAACCCCATGGTCTAACAGAAAGCCTTCATAATCCAACTTTTATCATCCTGCCCCACCATGTGTGTGTGCAGCCGAATGTCAGACCTGACACAGCAGCTCCATGGGAGAGAGGACAAGGGCCGGGCTGAGAGAGAGGGGCTCCTGGACCGCCTGCACAGTCTCACCACAGAGGGTACCCACGCCAAGCTACAGAACCAGGGCCTCAAGGTCAATGACGACAATGGATTAACACTTGAAATTATTGGGCCAGTTTCCCGGAGACAGATTCATTTTAGTCTGGAAGTTGGACTAGAAATCACTTTTGAATGGATATTTTTCATTGGGCTTTAAAGGGGAATGGAAACACTTTAGGAAGTAAAGCTAAGCAAGGTTATAGTTAGCTGGCATTCAAAAGCCTTATGTTTCCCTTCCCCTTTAATCTGTGTCTGTACCAATCCATTATGTGGCACTACGTGGTACTTTCTTCTTTTACGAGAATCCCAATTCTACCCGGTACCTAACAAATAGTATGTGTTGGTTCTGGTTTCAGTACGTTACAAAGCTACAGAAGTAATTCATTATCCATAGATTTAGCTGACCAGATAATAGATTGCTTTATTGCATCATAACACTGATTTGCGGTCAGATTATTCTAGTACACACATGCACACCGTTCTCTACTGCAGGTTGACAGGCCTATGTCTGTGTTTCCCTCATTCAGGCCAGGTTATCTGCTGTGGAGGAGAAGCTGGCTCTGTCCCAGTCAGAGGTACAACAAGTCAAAGCCTCTGTGAAGCAATACGAGAGCCTGGTAGACAACTATAAGACCCAGGTACTGTATGTACAAGTATACACCATGTAGTACCCACACACAGACTCTGAATGCAAACATGCAATAATAGACTAAATGAAAGAGAATTGTCAATAAATGACTATTTGTGCTCAATGTGTATAAGTGCGTCTGTGTAATGCTACCCATTGCCCACCACTCAGGTGATGGAGACTCGGGCGGAGGCGGATGAGTACTGTGCCAGGCTGGGACAAACGGAGCGTGAGGCACGGGAGGTCCGGGACCAGGTGGAGAGGGAGGTGGAGGTGGTGCGCATGGAGCTGCTTGGCCGGCTGACAGAGCTGGAGACTCTTCCTGAGGCACTGCGGCGCTCCGAGGTCCTACTGGAGGAAGCTCAGGACAGGGAACACGCCCAGGAGAGACACAGCACCGAGCTGAGCACCGCCCTGGCCGACCTGCACATGAAGGTGTGTCTGTGTGTGGGGGGGGCTGACCTGAGCATGGTGTGTGTGCTGCACACAAAACTTAATGGAATGCTTCCAGACTGTGGATTTATTGGTGTTATTAATGGTTTATTAATGGTGTTGTGTGTGTGTGTGTGTGTGTGTGTAATAATGTGTGTGTATATATGTGTGTGTGTAGACATGTGTGTGTGTATATATGTGTGTGTGTGTGTATACAGTGGGGGGAAAAAAGTATTTAGTCAGCCACCAATTGTGCAAGTTCTCCCACTTAAAAAGATGAGAGAGGCCTGTAATTTTCATAATAGGTACAAGTCAACTATGACAGACAAAATGAGAAAAAAAAATCCAGAAAATCACATTGTAGGATTTTAAATGAATTTATCTGCAAATTATGGTGGAAAATAAGTATTTGGTCAATATGAAAAGTTTCTCAATACTTTGTTATATACCCTTTGTTGGCAATGACACAGGTCAAACGTTTTCTGTAAGTCTTCACAAGGTTTTTGTCAGAACCGGCTGATGTGGATGTGGTGGAGGAGTCACACGCAGGACACAGAAGCTAAGTCAAACCGACTTTACTGCACAAAATTAAACAAGACACTGGGCCTCAACAAAACAGGAGGCGAACGATACGCAGCAGTGCGTAAAACACTATAATCCTAGGCGCACGAAACAAACAGTGCGACGGATAAGACTATACAAAATACGAAATACGAGCAGCACCCATAGACAGGCGAACAATAACACACAACACAACACACGACTAACAAAACGAGAAACTTATAGGGGACATAATTAACCCAAATGGAAACAGGTGTACAATAAAGACAAAACCAAACAAACATCGATAACATACAACGGTGGTAGCTAGTACTCCGGGGACGACGACCGCCGAAGCCTGCCCGAGCAAGGAGGAGGAGCAGCAGCCTCGGCCGACACCGTGACAGTACCCCCCCCTTGACGCGCGGCTCCAGCCGTGCGCCGACCCCGGCCTCGGGGACGACCAGGAGGACGCGGAGCAGGGAGCGTGGGGTGACCACGGTGGAACTCTGTCAGGAGAGACGGATCTAGGATGTCCCTCCTCGGCACCCAGCACCGTTCCTCCGGGCCGTACCCCTCCCACTCCACGAGATATTGGAGACCCCCCATCCGACGTCTCGAGTCCAAGATGGACCGAACTGTGTACGCCGGAGGGGGCGGAGGAGTCTCTCCTATCTCACCTTCCTGGAGTGGACCAGCTACCACCGGCCTGAGAAGAGACACATGGAACGAGGGGTTAATGCGATAATCATTAGGCAGTTGTAACCTGTAACACACCTCGTTCAATCTCCTCAGGACTTTAAAAGGCCCCACAAACCGCCAACCCAGCTTCCGGCATGGCAGGCGGAGGGGTAGGTTTCTGGTCGAGAGCCAGACTCGATCTCCAGGTGCGTACACCGGCCCCTCACTGCGGTGGAGATCGGCGCTCGCCTTTTGTCGACGGATGGCCCGCTGCAGATGGACGTGTGCAGCGTTCCACGTCTCCTCCGAGCGCCATACCCACTCATCCACCGCAGGGGCCTCGATCTGGCTCTGATGCCACGGTGCCAGAACCGGCTGGTACCCTAACACACATTGGAAAGGGGTTAGGTTGGTGGAGGAGTGGCGAAGAGAGTTCTGGGCCATCTCTGCCCAGGGAACATACCTCGCCCACTCCTCCGGCCGGCCCTGGCAATACGATCTCAGAAACCTACCCACATCCTGGTTCACACGTTCTACCTGCCCATTGCTCTCCGGGTGGTAACCCGAGGTAAGGCTCACCGAGACCCCCAAGCGTTCCATGAACGCCCTCCAGACTCTGGAGGTGAACTGGGGACCTCGATCAGACACTATATCCTCGGGTACCCCGTAGTGCCGAAAGACGTGGGTGAATAGTGCCTCAGCGGTCTGTAGGGCAGTAGGGAGACCCGGCATTGGGAGGAGACGACAGGCCTTAGAGAACCGATCCACAACGACCAGTATAGTGGTACTCCCCTGCGAGGGGGGAAGGTCTGTGACGAAATCCACCGAAAGGTGAGACCAGGGTCGTTGTGGAACGGGCAGGGGTTGTAACTTTCCCCTGGGCAGGTGTCTGGGCGCCTTACACTGGGCGCACACCGAGCAGGAGGAGACATAAACCCTCACATCCCTGGCTAACATTGGCCACCAGTACTTAGCGCTAAGGCAGTGCACTGTCCGGCCAATACCTGGATGTCCAGAGGAGGGTGACGTGTGAGCCCAGTAAATCAGTCGATCCCGAACCTCGAGCGGAACGTACGTCCGACCCACAGGACACTGGGGAGGGCTAGGATCGGTACGCAACGCCCCGCTCGATTTCCGCATCGACCTCCCACACTACCGGTGCCACCAGACACGACTCCGGCAGTATGGGAGTGGGCTCAACGGACCTCTCCTCTGTGTCATACCGCCGGGACAGGGCGTCTGCCTTACCGTTCTGGGACCCAGGGATGTACGTGATTTTAAATACGAACCGGGCCAGAAACATGTTCCACCGCGCCTGACGAGGGTTCAATCTCCTAGCTGCCCGGATGTACTCCAGGTTACGGTGGTCAGTCAAAATGAGAAAAGGGTGTTGAGCCCCCTCAAGCCAATGCCTCCACACCTTTAGGGCCTGTACCACGGCTAACAGCTCCCTGTCCCCTACGTCATAATTTCGCTCCGCCGGGCTGAGCTTCTTAGAGTAAAAAGCACAGGGGCGGAGTTTAGGTGGTGTGCCGGACCGTTGCGATAGTACGGCCCCAATACCGGCCTCTGACGCGTCCACCTCCACCTGAAATGGTAAAGCGGGTTCCGGATGCGCCAGCACCGGAGCTGAAGTAAACAGGTCCTTCAGTCTCCCAAAAGCCCTGTCCGCCTCGGCTGACCACTGCAAACGCACCGGACCCCCCTTCAAAAGGGACGTTATGGGAGCTGCCACCTGTCCAAAACCCCGGATAAACCTCCGGTAGTATTTTGCAAACCCCAAAAACTGCTGCACCTATTTAACCGTGGTTGGGGTTTGCCAATTACGCACGGCTGACACACGGTCCACCTCCATCTTCACCCCTGACGCGGACAACTGATAACCCAGAAAGGAGACCGACTCCTGGAAAAACAGACATTTCTCTGCCTTGACATACAGGTCGTGCTCCAACAGCCTCCTCAACACTCGGCGCACCAGGGCTACATGCTCGGCTCGGGTAGAAGAGTACACCAGAATGTCATCTATGTACACGACCACACCCTGCCCCTGCATTTCCCGGAAGATCTCATCCACGAAGGATTGGAAGACTGAAGGAGCATTCATCAACCCGTATGGCATGACGAGATACTCGTAATGACCCGAGGTGGTACTAAATGCTGTCTTCCATTCATCGCCCCCCCTAATGCGCACCAAGTTATATGCGCTCCTGAGATCCAGTTTTGTGAAGAAACGCGCTCCGTGCAATGATTCCGTCATAGTCGCAATCAGAGGGAGTGGATAACTGTATTTCACAGTGATCTGATTGAGACTACGGTAATCAATGCACGGGCGCAACCCTCCATCCTTTTTCTTCACAAAAAAGAAGCTCGAGGACGCAGGGGAAGTGGAGGGCCGTATGTATCCTTGTCTCAGAGATTTGGCTATGTAAGTCTCCATAGCCCTCTTCTCCTCTTGAGACAGAGGATACACGTGGCTCCGCGGAAGCGCTGCTCCTGCCTGGAGGTCTATCGCACAATTCCCCTGTCTATGAGGAGGCAACTGCGTCGCCCTCGATTTACTGAACACAAGTGCCAAATCCTCATACTCAGGGGGAATGTGCATTGCGGGCACCTGGTTTGGACTCTCCACCGAGGTCGCCCCCACGGAAACACCTAGACATCGCCCCTCACACTGGGCAGACCACTCCTTAAGAGCCCTCTGTTGCCACGAAATGGAAGGATTATGGGTACTCAACCAGGGAATTCCCAGCACCACCGGATACGCAGGAGAGTCGATCAGATATAGCTGAATAGTTTCCTCATGACCCCCCTGCGTACACATCCTAAGTGGTGCTGTGACCTCCCTAATCAACCCCGATCCCAACGGACGGCTATCTAGTGCATGAACGGGAAATGGGGCGTCAACAGGAAGGAGGGGAATCCCTAACTCTAAACAAAATTTCCGATCAACAAAATTCCCAGCTGCGCCTGAATCTACTAGCGCCTTATGCTGGGAATGAGGTGCAACCTGTGGAAAACTTACAGGTATACAGAAGTGCACAACAGAGAGCTCTGGGTAAGTGGGACGCCTACTCACCTGGAAGGGCTCCCCAGTGCGTGGCCTGTTGTCCTCTCCCCTAGGAGACCCTCCCCAGCACCTAGCCGCGGTGTGCCCTCCACGGCCACAGTTGGTGCAGGGGACGGCCCCCCTCGGGCTCCTCCTCTCTCTAGCGCCAGCACCCCCGAGCTCCATTGGGCTCGGCTCGGAGGTGCTGGAGGGTGGAATGGACGAACCCCACTCGGAACGTCCGCGGGTGGCCAGCAGGGTGTCCAGCCGGATGGACATGTCCACCAACTGGTCGAACGTGAGGTTGGTATCCCTGCAGGCCAGCTCTCGACGGGCGTCCTCCCGTAGACTACAACGGTAGTGGTCGATGAGGGCCCGCTCATTCCACCCTGCATCCGCCGCTAGGGTCCGGAATTCCAGGGCGAACTCCTGTGCGCTCCTCTTCCCCTGTCGGAGGTAGAATAGACGCTCCCCCGCCGCTTTCCCCTCAGGTGGATGGTCGAACATGGCCCTGAAGCGGCGGAAGAATTCCGCGTAGGTGATGGTGGCGGCGTCTATCCCCCTACATTCGGCGTTGGCCCACTCCAACGCCTTGCCGGTGAGACAGGAGATGAGGGCGGAAACGCTCTCGTGTCCCGAGGGCGCCGGGTGTACGGTGGCCAGGTAGAGCTCCACCTGCAGAAGGAACCCCTGACACCCGGCTGCGGTGCCATCATACGCCCTCGGGAGCGAGAGCCGAATTCCCCTGGATTCCGGAGCTTGGATGGCCGGGCTGGCCGATGGTGGAGGTACGGGAGGTGGAGGTGTGGGTACCCCTCTGGTATCCCATCGGTGTAGAGTGTTGATCACGTCCTGCAGGGCGACCCTGAGTTGTTGTATCCTCTCGTCCTGCCCGCGGACGCGCTCCTCCATCGACTCGTGCGCTGCTGCTGCTCCTGCTGACTCCATGGTGGTGTGTTACTCTGTCAGAACCGGCTGATGTGGATGTGGTGGAGGAGTCACACGCAGGACACAGAAGCTAAGTCAAACCGACTTTACTGCACAAAATTAAACAAGACACTGGGCCTCAACAAAACAGGAGGCGAATGATACGCAGCAGTGCGTAAAACACTATAATCCTAGGCGCACGAAACAAACAGTGCGACGGATAAGACTATACAAAATACGAAATACGAGCAGCACCCATAGACAGGCGAACAATAACACACAACACACGACTAACAAAACGAGAAACTTATAGGGGACATAATTAACCCAAACGGAAACAGGTGTACAATAAAGACAAAACCAAACAAACATCGATAACATACAACGGTGGTAGCTAGTACTCCGGGGACGACGACCGCCGAAGCCTGCCCGAGCAAGGAGGAGGAGCAGCCTCGGCCGACACCGTGACAGTTTTCACACACTGTTGCTGGTATTTTGGCCCATTCCTCCATGCAGATCTCCTCTAGAGCAGTGATGTTTTGGGGCTGTCGCTGGGCAACACGCATTTTCAACTCCCTCCAAAGATTTTCTATGGGGTTGAGATCTGGAGACTGGCTAGGCCACTCCAGGACCTTGAAATGCTTCTTACGAAGCCACTCCTTCGTTGCCCGGGCGGTGTGTTTGGGATCATTGTCATGCTGAAAGACCCAGCCACGTTTCATCTTCAATGCCCTTGCTGATGGAAGGAGGTTTTCACTCAAAATCTCACGATACATGGCTCCATTCATTCTTTCCTTTACACGGATCAGTCGTCCTGGTCCCTTTGCAGAAAAACAGCCCCAAAGCATGATGTTTCCACCCCCATACTTCACAGTAGGTATGGTGTTCTTGGGATGCAACTCAGCATTCTTTGTCCTCCAAACACGACGAGTTTGCACTGCAGGATTTGAGTCCCTGGCGGTGTAGTGTGTTACTGATGGTAGGCTTTGTTACTTTGGTCCCAGCTCTCTGCAGGTCATTCACTAGGTCCCCCCGTGTGGTTCTGGGATTTTTGCTCACCGTTCTTGTGATCATTTTGACCCCACGGGGTGAGATCTTGCGTGGAGCCCCAGATCGAGGGAGATTATCAGTGGTCTTGTATGTCTTCCATTTCCTAATAATTGCTCCCACAGTTGATTTCTTCAAACCAAGCTGCTTACCTATTGCAGATTCAGTCTTCCCAGCCTGGTGCAGGTCTACAATTTTGTTTCTGGTGTCCTTTGACAGCTCTTTGGTCTTGGCCATAGTGGAGTTTGGAGTGTAACTGTTTGAGGTTGTGGACAGGTGTCTTTTATACTGATAACAAGTTCAAACAGGTGCCATTAATACAGGTAACGAGTGGAGGACAGAGGAGCCTCTTAAAGAAGAAGTTACAGGTCTGTGAGAGCCAGAAATCTTGCTTGTTTGAAGGTGACCAAATACTTATTTTCCACCATAATTTGCAAATAAATTCATTAAAAATCCTACAATGTGATTTTCTGGATTTTTTTTCCTCAATTTGTCTGTCATAGTTGACGTGTACCTATGATGAAAATTACAGGCCTCTCTCATCTTTTTAAGCGGGAGAACTTGCACAATTGGTGGCTAGCACAGACTGGAACATGTTCCGGGATTCTTCAGACAGCATTGAGGAGTACACCACATCAGTCACTGGCTTCATCAATAAGTGCATCGATGATGTCGTCCCCACAGTGACCGTACGTACATACCCCAACCAGAAGCCATGGATTACAGGAAACATCCGCACTGAGCTAAAGGGTAGAGCTGCCGCTTTCAAGGAACGGGACTCTAACCCGGACGCTTATAAGAAATCCCGCTATGACCTCCGACGAACCATCAAACAGGCAAAGAGTCAATACAGGTCTAAGATTGAATCATACTACACTGGCTCTGACGCTCGTCGGATGTGGCAGGGCTTGAAAACTATTACAGACTACAAAGGGAAGCACAGCCGCGAGCTGCCCAGTGACACAAGCCTACCAGACGAGCTAAACCACTTCTATGCTCGCTTCGAGGCAAGCAACACTGAAGCATGCATGAGAGCACCAGCTGTTCCGGACGACTATGTGATCACGCTCTCCGTAGCCGATGTGAGTAATACTTTTAAGCAGGTCAACATTCACAAGGCCGCAGGGCCAGACGAATTACCAGGACGTGTACTCCGAGCATGTGCTGACCAACTGGCAAGTGTCTTCACTGACATTTTCAACATGTCCCTGACTGAGTCTGTAATACCAACATGTTTCAAGCAGACCACCATAGTCCCCGTGCCCAAGAACTCTAAGATAACCTGCCTAAATGACTACCGACCCGTGGCACTGACGTCTGTAGCCATGAAGTGCTTTGAAAGACTGGTCATGGCTCACATCAACAGCATAATCCCAGAAACCCTAGACCAGGGGTGTCAAAGTCAAATGGACGGAGGGCCAAATAAAAAATTTAGCTACAAGCCGAGGGCCGGACTGTTCGAATGTTCATTGAAAATTTTTTAAATGACGCATATAGTCTAGTGAACCTAATTGAACCTACTGAAAACCTAACAAATATATTCCAATATGATCAGATAAATAAAGCAATATTTTCTTATGGCTCTGTCAGTAATCTTTAATTTTCAACAGACACAAAAGACAAATTTCCTTTATATAAAAATCCCCATAACATGAACATTAAATGAAAGAAACCGGTATTCAAGGCACCATCAGTAGCCTATATTTTCTATTTTAGCAAAAGTGGGCTAAATTTACTTCAAAGAAAAAAACAATAATAGCAATTTTCTATCATCCACTCAACTGAAATATTTTTAAAATATAATTGGATTGAAATACAATAAAATAAAGTGCAAAAATCTATTAATCAAAAACAACACTTTGTTTAAGGAGAAGTAACATGCAGTGAAAACAAATATTAAACTTTAACTTTTAAACTTGAACTGAGTAAAAACTCTAAATATGTGATTGCACAGTAATGTTCACTTGTTTGAGGTTGAGGGTGATACTTGGTGGTGTCCCATCTTTTCCACAAGTTCATCAATGTTCGGGGTAAGGCTCTGAGCTGAGGAAATCCTCAGAATTGAGTGGAGGTGTTCAGCAGTAAGTCGACTTCTGTGTGATGTTTTGTTCAGGTTCATCAAAGAAAACAGTTGTTCACACAGGTATGTGCTGCCAAACATAGACAACGTTTGAGCAGCCTGGATGCGCAGCTGGGGCATTGTGTCGGGGAGGAAACGGGCGAACTCCGCAGCACCCACTGCCGCATATTTTGCCCTCAGTGCATCATTGCATTGGAGGTCAATCAACTCCATTTGGAGGTTTGGTGGTGAGCTTTCCACGTCAACAGCAAATGGGTTACCGAGCAGTTCCAACCTGCTTTTTTGTGCTTCAAAGTCAGCAAATCGGCGTCGAAAGTCAGCGGCAAGCATACCTATTTTATCAGCCAACTGTGCGCTCGGGAACGCACTGGTAGAGAGCTTCTCTTTCATGGTCTGGCAGCTGGGAAAGTGGCTCAAATTTTCTTTCCGCATCTGCGTCTCCCACAGAGTCAGTTTGGTTTTAAATGCCTTCACTGTACTGTACATATCAGAGATGACATGATCCCGACCCTGCAGCTGCAAGTTCATTGCATTCAGATGACTCGTAATGTCACACAGAAAAGCCATTTCACACAGAAACATTTCGTCTCGGAGTTGTGTTGTGTCTTTCCCTTTGCTGTCCAAGAACAGACAAATCTCCTCACGAAGCTCGAAACATCTTTGAAGCACCTTTCCCTGGCTTAGCCATCGCACCTCTGTGTGATAAGGCAAATCACCATGCTCCGTTTCTAACTCCGTCAGAAATGCCTTGAACTGGCGGTGATTCAAACCTTTGGCTCTGATAAAGTTAACTGTGCGCGTGATGATGCTCATTACATCCTCCATTTTCAAGGCTTTACCGCACAACGCTTCCTGGTGTATGATACAATGATAAGCTGTCAGCTCACCTGTCGCGTTTTCCTCTTGCATCTTTTCCCGTATCTTCGCCACCAGTCCGCTCCTGTGTCCACACATCGCAGGTGCTCCGTCGGTTGTCAAACCCACGAGTTTTTCCCAAGGCAGCTCCATCTCATTTACACATCTTGACACCTCTTCATACAAATCATGCCCCGTAGTTGTGCCATGCATAGGACGTAAAGCCAAAAACTCCTCTGTCACGCTTAGGCTGGAGTCCACTCCGCGGATGAAAATTGACAACTGGGCAATGTCAGAAATGTCGGTGCTCTCATCCACAGCCAAGGAATATGCAATGAAATCTTTTCCCTTTTTCACAAGCTGCTCTTTTAGATTGATGGACAACTGGTCTACTCTCTCGGCAATGGTGTTTCTGCTCAGACTCACATTTAAAAAGAGTTGCCTTTTTTCTGGGCAAACTTCGTCACAAACTTTAATCATGCAGTTTTTGATGAAATCCCCCTCCGTAAATGGCCGGGCTGATTTAGCGATCTCTTCTGCCAAAATAAAACTGGCCTTGACAGCAGCCTGGCCTTGTGATTTGGCTTTTTTGAACAGAGCCTGTCGAGATTTGAGGCCTCGTTTTAATTCCTCTGCCTTTTGTAGCCTTTGTTCCATGTCCATATTCTTGTTTTTGTCCGCGTGTTTCGTTTCATAATGTCGTCTCAGATTATACTCTTTCAGTACCGCCACACTTTCTCCACACAGAAGACACACAGGTTTTCCAGCTACCTCCGTGAACATATACTCCGACTCCCACCTTGTTTGAAACCCCCGGTTCTCAGTGTCCACCTTCCGTTTTGCCATTTTTGATGGGTATCTGAAAGTTAATTTTACTGTGATGCTGACGACTGCTGTGCCAATAAATATTGAAATGAAGCAGCCTACTGCTCGGTGCGTCACCGTTGCATTGTGGGAAATGTAGTATTGGTGCGTGTAAAAGATCTGCGGGCTGCCGGCTTGCTGCGGTCTGCGGGCCGGTTCTAATAATAAATCAAGATCATCCCAGGGGCCGTAAAAAACCTTCTCGCGGGCCGGATGTGGCCCGCGGGCCTTGACTCTGACATATGTGCCCTAGACCCACTCCAATTTGCATACCGCCCCAACAGATCCACAGATGATGCAATCTCTATCGCACTCCACACTGCCCTTTCCCACCTGGACAAGAGGAACACCTACGTGAGAATGCTATTCATTGACTACAGCTCAGCATTCAACACCATAGTGCCCTCAAAGCTCATCACTAAGCTAAGGATCCTGGGACTAAACACCTCCCTCTGCAACTGGATCCTGGACTTCCTGACGGGCCGCCCCCAGGTGGTAAGGGTAGGTAACAACACATCTGCCACACTGATCCTCAACACGGGGGCCCCTCAGGGGTGCGTGCTCAGTCCCCTCCTGTACTCTCTGTTCACCCATGACTGCATGGCCAGGCACGACTCCAACACCATCATTAAGTTTGCCGACGACACAACAGTGGTAGGCCTGATCACCGACAACGATGAGACAGCCTATAGGGAGGAGGTCAGAGATCTGGCCGTGTGGTGCCAGGACAACAACCTCTCCCTCAACGTGACCAAGACAAAGGAGATGATTGTGGACTACAGGAAAAAAAAGAGGACTGAGCACGCCCCCATTCTCATCGACGGGGCTGTAGTGGAACAGGTTGAGAGCTTCAAGTTCCTTGGTGTCCACATCACCAACGAACTATCATGGTCCAAACACACCAAGACAGTCGTGAAGAGGGCACGACAAAGCCTATTCCCCCTCAGGAGACTAAAAAGATTTGGCATGGGTCCTCAGATCCTCAAAAAATTCTACAGCTGCACCATCGAGAGCATCCTGACTGGTTGCATCACCGCCTGGTATGGCAACTGCTTGGCCTCTGACCGCAAGGCACTACAGAGGGTAGTGCGTACGGCCCAGTACATCACAGGGGCAAAGCTCCCTGCCATCCAGGACCTCTATACCAGGCGGTGTCAGAGGAAGGCCCTCAAAATTGTCAAAGACTCCAGTCACCCTAGTCATAGACTGTTCTCTCTGCTACCGCACGGCAAGCGGTACCGGAGTGCCAAGTCTAGGTCCAAAAGACTTCTCAACAGCTTCTACCCCCAAGCCATAAGACTCCTGAACAGCTAATCATGGCTACCCGGACTATTTGCACTGCCCCCCCCACCCCATACTTTTTACGCTGCTGCTACTCTGTTAAGTATTTATGCATAGTCACTTTAACTCTACCCACATGTACATATTACCTCAACTACCTCAACTAGCCGGTGCCCCCGCACATTGACTATGCAACGGTACCCCCCCTGTATATATAGCCTCCCTACTGTCACTTTATTCTATTGTATATATAGCCTCCCTACTGTCACTTTATTTTTACTTCTGCTCTTTTTTTCTCAACACTTTTTTGTTGTTGTTTTATTCTTACTTTTTTTGTTTAAAATAAATGCACTGTTGGTTAAGGGCTGTAAGTAAGCATTTCACTGTAATGTCTGCACCTGTTGTATTCGGCGCATGTGACCAATAAAATTTGATTTGATTTGATTTGATTTGACTAAATACTTTTTCCCCCCACTGTATATACACACACATAACACACACATACAGTGAGGGAAAAAAGTATTTGATCCCCTGCTGATTTTGTACGTTTGCCCACTGTCAAAGACATGATCAGTCTATAATTTTAATGGTAGGTTTATTTGAACAGTGAGAGACAGAATAACAACAAAAAAATCCAGAAAAACGCATGTCAAAAATGTTATAAATTGATTTGCATTTTAATGAGGGAAATGAGTATTGACCCCTCTGCAAAACATGACTTAGTACTTGGTGGCAAAACCCTTGTTGGCAATCACAGAGGTCAGACGTTTCTTGTAGTTGCCCACCAGGTTTGCACACATCTCAGGAGGGATTTTGTTCCACTCCTCTTTGCAGATCTTCTCCAAGTCATTAAGGTTTTGAGGCTGACGTTTGGCAACTCCAACCTTCAGCTCCCTCCACAGATTTTCTATGGGATTAAGGTCTGGAGACTGGCTAGGCCACTCCAGGACCTTAATGTGCTTCTTCTTGAGCCACTCCTATTGTTGCCTTGGCCGTGTGTTTTGGGTCATTGTCATGCTGGAATATCCATCCACGACCCATTTTCAATGCCCTGGCTGAGGGAAGGAGTTTCTCACCCAAGATTTGACGGTACATGGCCCCGTCCATCGTCCCTTTGATGCGGTGAAGTTGTCCTGTCCCCTTAGCAGAAAAACACCCCCAAAGCATAATGTTTCCACCTCCATGTTTGACGGTGGGGATGGTGTTCTTGGGGTCATAGGCAGCATTCCACCTCCTCCAAACACGGCGAGTTGAGTTGATGCCAAAGAGCTCGATTTTGGTCTCATCTGACCACAATACTTTCACCCAGTTCTCCTCTGAATCATTCAGATGTTCATTGGCAAACTTCAGACGGGCCTGTATATGTGCTTTCTTGAGCAGAGGGACCTTGCGGGCGCTGCAGGATTTCAGTCCTTCACGGCGTAGTGTGTTACCAATTGTTTTCTTGGTGACTATGGTCCCAGCTGCCTTGAGATCATTGACAAGATCCTCCCGTGTAGTTCTGGGCTGATTCCTCACCGTTCTCATGATCATTGCAACTCCACGAGGTGAGATCTTGCATGGAGCCCCAGGCCGAGGGAGATTGACAGTTATTTTGTGTTTCTTCCATTTGCGAATAATCGCACCAACAGTTGTCACCTTCTCACCAAGCTGCTTGGCGATGGTCTTGTAGCCCATTCCAGCCTTGAGTAGGTCTACAATCTTGTCCCTGACATCCTTGGAGAGCTCTTTGGTCTTGGCCATGGTGGAGAGTTTGGAATCTGATTGATTGATTGCTTCTGTGGACAGGTGTCTTTTATACAGGTAACAAACTGAGATTAGGAGAACTCCCTTTAAGAGTGTGCTCCTAATCTCAGCTCGTTACCTGTATAAAACACACCTGGGAGTCAGAAATCTTTCTGATTGAGAGGGGGTCAAATACTTATTTCCCTCATTAAAATGCAAATCAATTTATAACATTTTTGACATGCGTTTTTCTGGATTTTGTTGTTTTTATTCTGTCTCTCACTGTTCAAATAAACCTACCATTAAAAATAGACTGATCATTTCTTTGTCAGTGGGCAAAGGTACAAAATCAGCAGGGGATCAAATACTTTTTTCTCCCTCACTGTATGTGTGTATATATATGTGTGTGTGTATATATATGTGTGTGTATAATGTGTGTGTATATATGTGTGTGTGTATATATGTGTGTATAATGTGTGTGTATAATGTGTGTGTATATGTGTGTGTATATATGTGTGTGTATAGATGTGTGTGTAATGTGTGTGTATATATGTGTGTGTATAATGTGTGTATCGCTCTCTAGGTGGAGCAACAAGGCAGCCAGGTGGAGCTGCTGAGAGTGAAGAACTCGGTCCTGTTGGAGGAGAACAAACAGCTGCAACACCGTGTGGAGAGTCTGGAGAGGTCAGACAGTTACGGCCATTCCAGAGCCTGACCCATGTAGTGACCCGCATGAATATCATTACACACTGAACAGTATGAGTCTGTATGTGTGTACAATGTGCATGTTCCTGTGTGTGTTTGTAATATGATAACTAATATCAGGGGCGCAACTTTCACTGGGGAAATTGCATTTTTGTCCCCCCCCCCCCCAGTTTTATCATCAGAATGTGATACATAACGAGGCAACGGTGTGCTTTAGGACCATGCGGACGCCTCCAAGCGGTCGGGTAGGCTGTTTGGAGTGTTTATCCGACTGGATTAAAAAAAATAAATATATATATATATATATATATATATATATATATATATACAGTGGGGAAAAAAAGTATTTAGTCAGCCACCAATTGTGCAAGTTCTCCCACTTAAAAAGATGAGAGAGGCCTGTAATTCTCATCATAGGTACACGTCAACTATGAGAGACAAAATGAGGAAAAAAATTCCAGAAAATCACATTGTAGGATTTTTTATGAATTTATTTGCAAATTATGGTGAAAAATAAGTATTTGGTCAATAACAAAAGTTTCTCAATACTTTGTTATAATACCCTTTGTTGGCAATGACACAGGTCAAACGTTTTCTGTAAGTCTTCACAAGGTTTTCACACACTGTTGCTGATATTTTGGCCATTCCTAATGCAGATCTACTCTAGAGCAGTGATCCAGTGATGTTTGGGGGCTGTCGCTGGGCAACACGGACTTTCAACCTTCCCCAAAGATTTCTATGGGGGTGAGATCTGGAGATTGTAGGCCACTCCAGGACCTTGAAATGTTTTACGAGAGCCACGCCTTCGTTGCCCGGGCGGTGCCGCTTTGGGATCATTGTAATGCTGAAAGACCCTGCACGTTCTCATCTTCAATGCATTGTGATGGAAGGAGGTTTCCACTCAACATCTCAACGATACATGGCCCATTTCATTCGTTCCTTTAAACCTTCGGATCAGTCGTTCCGGTCCCTTTGAGAAAAAACAGCCCCAAAGCATGATGCTTTCCACCCCCATGCTTCACAGCCTAGGTTGTTGTTCTTTGGAAAGAACTCAGCATTCTTTGTCCTCCAAACACATGACGACGTTCGAGTTTTCTACCAAAAGTTATAGTCTTTGGTTCATCGAAAATAGACATTCTCCCAATCCTCTTCTGGATCATCCAAATGCACTCTAGCAAACTTCAGACGGGCCTGGACATGTACTGGCTTAAGCAGGGGGACACGTCTGGCACTGCAGGATTTGAGTCCCTGGCGGCGTAGTGTGTTACTGATGGTAGGCTTTGTTACTTTGGTCCCAGCTCTCTGCAGGTCATTCACTAGGTCCCCCCGTGTGGTTCTGGGATTTTTGCTCACCGTTCTTGTGATCATTTTGACCCCACGGGGTGAGATCTTGCGTGGAGCCCCAGATCGAGGGAGATTATCGGTGGTCTTGTATGTCTTCCATTTCCTAATAATTGCTCCCACAGTTGATTTCTTCAAACCAAGCTGCTTACCTATTGCAGATTCAGTCTTCCCAGCCTGGTGCAGGTCTACAATTTTGTTTCTGGTGTCCTTTGACAGCTCTTTGGTCTTGGCCATAGTGGAGTTTGGAGTGTGACTGTTTGAGGTTGTGGACAGGTGTCTTTTATACTGATAACAAGTTCAAACAGGTGCCATTAATACAGGTAACGAGTGGAGGAAAGAGGAGCCTCTTAAAGAAGAAGTTACAGGTCTGTGAGAGCCAGAAATCTTGCTTGTTTGTAGGTGACCAAATACTTATTTTCCACCATAATTTGCAAATAAATTCATTAAAAATCCTACAATGTGATTTTCTGGGGGTTTTTTCTCTCAATTTGTCTGTCATAGTTGACGTGTACCTATGATGAAAATTACAGGCCTCTCTCATCTTTTTAAGTGGGAGAACTTGCACAATTGGTGGCTGACTAAATACTTTTTTCCCCCACTGTATATATATATATATCTGGCTCTCACAGACCTGTAACTTCTTCTTTAAGAGGCTCCTCTGTCCTCCACTCGTTACCTGTATTAATGGCACCTGTTTCAACTTGTTATCAGTATAAAAGACACCTGTCCACAACCTCCAACAGTCACACTCCAAACTCCACTATGGCCAAGACCAAAGAGCTGTCAAAGGACACCAGAAACAAAATTGTAGACCTGCACCAGGCTGGGAAGACTGAATCTGCAATAGGTAAGCAGCTTTGTTTGAAGAAATCAACTGTGGGAGCAATTATTAGGAAATGGAAGACATACAAGACCACTGATAATCTCCCTCGATCTGGGGCTCCACGCAAGATCTCACCCCGTGGGGTCAAAATGATCACAAGAACGGTGAGCAAAAATCCCAGAACCACACGGGGGGACCTAGTGAATGACCTGCAGAGAGCTGGGACCAAAGTAACAAAGCCTACCATCAGTAACACACTACGCCGCCAGGGACTCAAATCCTGCAGTGCCAGACGTGTCCCCCTGCTTAAGCCAGTACATGTCCAGGCCCGTCTGAAGTTTGCTAGAGTGCATTTGGATGATCCAGAAGAGGATTGGGAGAATGTCATATGGTCAGATGAAACCAAAATATAACTTTTTGGTAAAAACTCAACTCGTCGTGTTTGGAGGACAAAGAATGCTGAGTTGCATCCAAAGAACACCATACCTACTGTGAAGCATAGGGGTGGAAACATCATGCTTTGGGGCTGTTTTTCTGCAAAGGGACCAGGACGACTGATCCGTGTAAAGGAAAGAATGAATGGGGCCATGTATCGTGAGATTTTGAGTGAAAACCTCCTTCCATCAGCAAGGGCATTGAAGATGAAACGTGGCTGGGTCTTTCAGCATGACAATGATCCCAAATACACCGCCCGGTCAACGAAGGAGTGGCTTCGTAAGAAGCATTTCAAGGTCCTGGAGTGGCATAGCCAGTCTCCAGATCTCAACCCCATAGAAAATCTTTGGAGGGAGTTGAAAGTCCGTGTTGCCCAGCGACAGCCCCAAAACATCACTGCTCTAGAGGAGATCTGCATGGAGGAATGGGCCAAAATACCAGCAACAGTGTGTGAAAACCTTGTGAAGACTTACAGAAAACGTTTGACCTGTGTCATTGCCAACAAAGAGTATATAACAAAGTATTGAGAAACTTTTGTTATTGACCAAATACTTATTTCCCACCATAATTTGCAAATAAATTCATAAAAAATCCTACAATGTGATTTTCTGGTTTTTTTTTTCTCATTTTGTCTGTCATAGTTGACGTGTACCTATGATGAAATTACAGGCCTCTCTCATCTTTTTAAGTGGGAGAACTTGCACAATTGGTGGCTGACTAAATACTTTTTTACCCCACCAGGGTTTGTATGGTGTATGTGTGAACATACCTGGGTCTTACAGCCCTCCCCTCTATCTCTCTCTTTAACCCCCCTGTCCCCCCATCCCTCCCTCCTTCCTTCCCACCGTCTCTCCCTTACAGGAAGTTGGAGGAGGCCACCAGTCAGAACAGGGACCTGGCGGGGGTGATCGCCAAGCGGGAGGAGACCATCCACAGCAACCATCTCTGTCTGGAGGAGAAGTCCAGTGAGTGCACCCACCTGACCCGCCAGCTGGAGGAGGCTTTGGATGACGCCAGACAACAGGTCTGTCTGGGGCTCCTGGCTGCCTGGGGACAGGGGGAGGCTGGGGAGCAGTCATTTTGAGACAAAAAAATCTCACCACAACATCAGCTAAAATACTCAGTGACAATAGTTTCCTTCCTTGAGGTTGTTTTATCCTTGTTGTAACAAGGTGAGAAGTACGTTGCTCTGTCTGATGGAGTATCTCTATCCTGGTGTATAGGTGTCCAACACCCGGGAGCGTGCGGCCACCAAAGAGCGCTCCACCCATTCCAAGGTGGTGGACCTAGAGACACAGCTGAGCAGGACCGCCACAGAACTCACCACCCTACGCCGTAGCAAAGAGGAGGTGAGGGGGAGCGTTTCATAAATGCACATCTCAATCAGAGATAATTTCATAACTGTGTGTGTGCTCCCCTTCAGGCGGAGCGGCGTTACCAGTCGCGTCTGCAGGATGTGAAGGATCGTCTGGAGCAGTCAGACAGCACCAACAGGAGTCTGCAGAACTATGTCCAGTTCCTCAAAGCCTCCTACGCCAACGTGTTCGGCGACTTAGCCCTCACCAGCTCTCTGCGGGCCCCCTCTCCCATCTGAGGGGACCCTCCCCGAAGATTCTCTCAGAACACACACACACAGACACACACACACACCTATGCCATCTGAGGGTACTCTCCCCACACACTCTTATTTATCCAGGTCTATATTCAGAGGGCTCTTTTCATATACATGAAATATGTGGATTTTGAGTGTGTATATGTTACAATTATACAATATCAATATGGCTATAATATATCACTTTTTTTTCAAGAGAGGAAAGTGTTGTTTGCAGACATCAATAGTTTACACAGACTTTACTTCCAGCTTGGAAAAGTACACCCAAACACACTTCAGCCCAGCTAAAACAAAAAAGGAATCAGGTGCTCGACTGAGGGACTTGGAAATCCCCAAAAACATTCCTTACCCCAGGACACATCAACTAGTGACTATCTGGGAGAATAAAGAAAAGGGAGCATTCTGTTTCTGGGTAAATCTGGTAGATTTATTGACGGGACAAACAAACAATAGGCTTACGTTTAGGCATGAATCGTCTTCATCAGAGCCTGGCTCCCGGAAAGTCACTAGTTGAATAATATATGCCATTTAGCAGACGGTCATGTAAGTCGCTTTTTACGTATGGGTGGCCCTGGGAATCGAACCCACAACCCTGGCGTTGCTGACGCCATGCTCTACCAACTGAAGTGTCCTGGGGTAAGGAATGTTTTGGGGATTTACTTCCTGCTTGTCAAGTAGTTGTTACAGTTGCCTATAGTTGTTAACGTCCTACTAAGTCCATTATGTTTTCACCTCTACGGTTCATGATATCTCAGCATACTGTATCATTCTGTGCTGTACCCTACTGTACAACACTATAGAGCTGGCCACCCACCTAACAAATGGACTGTACCAAACTACAGCTGTCCAGCTACCCTGTCGCATAGGTGTCATATATATAGCATCCGTCTATTTATTATCTTGTCATGTTATGGAATTGTTCCATTGGTGCTATGATTGATTAGCCTGGTCCCAGATCTGTTTGTGCTATCATGTCAACTCCTTGTCATGTTTGGCGTGACAAGGCGCAGCATGATGGCACAAACAGAATGGTACGCAGGCTAATGATTGGTGCTATCTGCTAACCAAGGCCATATCAATGAAACTAATGATTTAGTTTGGGTTGTTTTACTGTTTATTTGGGTCAGTATTTGTCTCAAAGGTGAGGACACATCAACTCCTTCACCAATGAGGAGAGTCAACAGTGAAGGAGTTGATGTGCTCTTGGCAATAATTTAAACATTTGTACCTCTACTTTAATTATGAAATAGGATATATATTTTTTAAAATAATTATATTAAAGTATTTTATATACCTTGAAAGTGTATAGATTTATATTGAGTTACAATAAAGCAATTTAAAAGGTTATCCAAAAAAATCTGGTTATAGCCTACACTCTTAGTGTCAATGGTTTATGGTACATACACACAATTAGAAAATATATAAAAAATTCTCATCCACTTTAATATACACTACCAGTCAAAAGTTTGGACACACTTACTCATTCAAGGGTTTTTCTTTATTTTTTACATTGTAGAATAATAGCGAAGACATCAACACTATGAAATAACACATATGGAATCATGTAGTAACCAAAAAATTGTTTTATATTTGAGATTCTTCAAATAGCCACCCTTTGCCTTGATGACAGCTTTGCACACTCTTGGCATTCTCTCAACCAGCTTCATGAGGTAGTCACCTGGAATGCATTTCAATTAACAGGTGTGCCTTCTTAAAAGTTAATTTGTGGAACGTTTTTCCATCTTAATGTGTTTGAGCCAATCAGTTGTGTTGTGACAAGGTAGGGGGGTATACAGAAGATAGCCCTATTTGGTAAAAGACCAAGTCCATATTATGGCAAGAACAGCTCAAATAAGCAAGAGAAACGACAGTCCATCATTACTTTAAAACACGAAGGTCAGTCTATACAGAACATTTCAAGAACTTTGAAAGTTTCTTCAAGTGCAGTCTCAAAAACCATCAAGCGCTATGATGAAACTGGCTCTCATGAGGACCGCCACAGGAATGGAAGACCCAGAGTTACCTCTGCTGCAGAGGATAAGTTCAATCGAGTTACCAGCCTCAGAAATTGCAGCCCAAATAAATGCTTCACAGAGTTCAAGTCACAGACACATCTCAACATCAACTGTTCAGAGGGGACTGCGTGAATCAGGCCTTCGTGGTCGAATTGCTGCAAAGAAACCACTACAAAAGGACACCAATAATAAGAAGAGACTTGCTTGGGCCAAGAAACACGAGCAATGGACATTAGACCAGTGGAAATGTGTCCTTTGGTCCGGAGTCCAAATTGGAGATTTTTGTTCCAACTGCCGTGTCTTTATGAGACGCGGTGTGGGTGAACAGATGATCTCCGCATGTGTAGTTCCCACCATAAAGTATGGAGGAGGAGGTGATATGGTGTGGGGGTGCTTTGCTGGTGACACTGTCTGTCATTTATTTAGAATTCAAGGCACACTTAACCAGCATGGCTACCACAGCATTCTGCAGCGATATGCCATCCCATCTGGTTTGGGCTTAGTGGGACTATCATTTGTTTTTCAACAGGACAATGACCCAATACACCTCCAGGCTATGGTTTGGGATGAGTCGGACGGCAGAGTGAAGGAAAAGCAGCCAACAAGTGCTCAGCATATGTGGGAACTCCTTCAAGACTGTTGGAAAAGCATTCCAGGTGAAGCTGGTTGAGAGAATGCCAAGAGTGTGCAAAGCTGTCATCAAGGCAAAGGCTGGCTATTTGAAGAATCTCAAATATAAAATATATTTTGATTTGTTTAACATTTTTTGGTTACTACATGACTCCATATGTGTTATTTAATAGTTTTGATGTCTTCACTATTATTGTACAATGTAGAAAATAGTAAGAAAAGAAAAACCCTTGAATGAGTAGGTGTGTCCAAACTGGTACTATAGGTAAAAGGGAAATAGATAGATACAATGTATAATTTTTGTGTGAAATATTGTACAGAAAAGCAAAGATCTTTATGGTATTCAAAAGAATTATGCACAAATGCATGGGAATTGTTTGTATATTTTAATTTTTTCACCTAACTTTCTCAATACAGACGCCTGTCATAAGGCTATTGACTTGCTGTGAACTGCAAATCACCTTGCATCGAATAACTACCCATTTCTCACAATTACAGTGAGGGGAAAAAGGATTTAATCCCCTGCTGATTTTGTACGTTTGCCCACTGACAAAGAAATGATCAGTCTATAATTTTATTGGTAGGTTTATTTGAACAGTGAGAGACAGAATAACAACAAAAAAATCCAGAAAAACACATGTCAGAAATGTTATAAATTGATTTGCATTTTATTGAGGGAAATAAGTATTTGACCCCCTCTCAATCAGAAAGATTTCTGGCTCCCAGGTGTCTTTTATACAGGTAACGAGCTGAGATTAGGAGCACACTCTTAAAGGGAGTTCTCCTAATCTCAGTTTGTTACCTGTATAAAAGACACCTGTCCACAGAAGCAATCAATCAATCAGATTCTAAACTTTCCACAATGGCCAAGACCAAAGAGCTCTCCAAGGATGTCAGGGTCAAGATTGTAGACCTACACAAGGCTGGAATGGGCTACAAGACCATCGCCAAGCAGCTTGGTGAGAAGGTGACAACAGTTGGTGCGATTATTCGCAAATGGAAGAAACACAAAATAACTGTCAATCTCCCTCGGCCTGGGGCTCCATGCAAGATCTCACCTCGTGGAGTTGCAATGATCGTGAGAACGGTGAGGAATCAGCCCAGAACTACACGGGAGGATCTTGTCAATGATCTCAAGGCAGCTGGGACCATAGTCACCAAGAAAACAATTGGTAACACACTACGCCGTATATGTGCTCAAGAAAGCACATATACAGGCCCGTCTGAAGTTTGCCAATGAACATCTGAATGATTCAGAGGAGAACTGGGTGAAAGTGTTGTGGTCAGATGAGACCAAAATCGAGCTCTTTGGCATCAACTCAACTCGCCGTGTTTGGAGGAGGAGGAATGCTGCCTATGACCCCAAGAACACCATCCCCACCGTCAAACATGGAGGTGGAAACATTATGCTTTGGGGGTGTTTTTCTGCTAAGGGGACAGGACAACTTCACCGCATCAAAGGGACGATGGACGGGGCCATGTACCGTCAAATCTTGGGTGAGAACCTCCTTCCCTCAGCCAGGGCATTGAACATGGGTCGTGGATGGGTATTCCAGCATGACAATGACCCAAAACACACGGCCAAGGCAACAAAGGAGTGGCTCAAGAAGAAGCACACTAAGGTCCTGGAGTGGTCTCCAGATCTTAATCCCATAGAAAATCTGTGGAGCGAGCTGAAGGTTGGAGTTGCCAAACGTCAGCCTCAAAACCTTAATGACTTGGAGAAGATCTGCAAAGAGGAGTGGGACAAAATCCCTCCTGAGATGTGTGCAAACCTCGTGGCCAACTACAAGAAACGTCTGACCTCTGTGATTGCCAACAAGGGTTTTGCCACCAAGTACTAAGTCATGTTTAGCAGAGGGGTCAAATACTTATTTCCCTCATTAAAATGGAATTTTAATTTTATAACATTTTTGACATGCGTTTTTCAGGATTATTTTGTTGTTATTCTGTCTCTCACTGTTCAAATAAACCTACCATTAAAATTATTGACTGATCATGTCTTTGTCAGTGGGCAAACGTACAAAATCAGCAGGGGATCAAATACTTTTTTCCCTCACTGTATCATATCCTCCGGTTCCAGAACCCAAGGCTCACACAACATTTGTTTCTGGGTTGCTGAGATTACCTAACACAATATCTCTTAGGTAGGCCTCATGCACAGCTCTGACCTGTGCCTTCATCAGAATGTGCCTTCTCTCCAAAATCCTCCCTTTAGCTTCAGTTTCTCTGGCTCTGCTCCTGAGCTCATCACGTTGCTGGATTATCGTCGCTAACTGTCTTCGAAAGGTGTTTTTCAGTACTTGCCGGGATCTCATCACCGCCCGTAGGCGTATGCTGATTGAGGTGAGAGGTTGGCCACAAGAAGAACAGAGAGTGTCACCATGGCCTCTCATTGCATTGTTCTGAGATCCACAAACAGTTATTCTCGGAATAGGCATTCGATACTGTCTAGCCTGTTCACACAGTTCCTGGAAGAGATCAAAATAAAGCTAAAAGTTCTACATCTAATTTCAACACAAATAATTGACACATAAATCTGGCCCTCGTTATGTTTAAGGAATGGTCACCCCATTTGTCTTTAGCTTTCACTTTCTGCACAAAAATACAGCCCTACCTACACAGCCTAGCCAGAAAAGTAGACCTACCTGTATTGTTCTGCCGGCTCGCACTGAGTTGTTTGAGATCTGACCAGGTCGTAAAGGGATCTGATCTGGTCGTAAAGCACTGACCTGTGCCCTCAACACAATGGCCTTTCTCTCAAACATCCTCACTTTGGCTTTGGCTTCTCTGTCTCTCCTCTGGTACTCGTCACGTTGCTGGATTGTTGTCACTAACTGTCTTCGGAGTCTGTTTTTCAGTTCATCTCGTGAACTCATTTCGGCTATTAGGTGGGTTGTGGTAGCGATGGGAGATCCTTTACAAGAACAGAGAGCAATCGTGGGACTTCTCATGGCATTGTTGTACTGAAATTCATGAAGAGTTCTTCTTGGACTAGGTAGGTTAGGCATTTCCTGGAAAACATCAAAACAAAGACAAATTCAGATAAATCTATACCAAATTCTAACACAAATAATTGTTGAGTGTTGGAGTCTGTTTTTTAACACACTGACACACTTTAATTCTGATTGAAAAGATAATAGGTGATAACTGCATCTGGTGCAAACACTTAGACCTAGTAATGTCTTTTGATTGTCCTTCCCAGCATGGAAAGTGAGAGAGTTCATGGCCTGAAAGGCCACGCCCCAAGAGTCCATGGGGAGGAGAGACAGAGAGACAGTGTAGGTATCTCACCACAGCAGGTCAGGAACAAAAGAGAAAGACACAATGAGTCTAAGACCCTTTTATAACCATTTGAGTTGTTTGGATTCGAAATCGGAGTTTACCAATAGAATACTGTAAAAGTGAACTTCCAATCACATCATCAGACCTACAGGCTGTAATCACAACAGCACCGACTGCTTCCCAGAGGTGTGACAGAATGGGGGATGTGGATAGCATTTGCATAGAGTGTTGATAAAAGTGAGGTCGGGTGTTGGGCCTGCCTACAAATCAGGCAATAGTATGTTCCACAAGGCATGGTCACACCAGATAGTATTAGCACACAAAACAGCAAAAATAAAGCCAAGATAGGCTTACCTGTAATTGTTGGACGTCAAAATTGGTTGGGATGACACCAGGTCGCAAACTGTGTCCTGAGTCAACTGTATCAAAGCTGTTGAGCAAATAATAGTTGTATTATTGCATCACCTTTCAGCCAGCGGCAGATCAGTTGCAATAGAACAATTTCGTATGGCAACCTCAATTCAGCAAAGGACTAATTCATGGAAGTGCCAACAGGATAATAGTAAAGAAATATGGTACTTACAAGTGGAATGTAATGCTGCTGCCATTGTCCTTTGCTGCCAAGTTCTCACTGGACACTGTGGATGCCTCAGAAGTTGACATCTTCATGGTCTGGTCTGTGTCTGTCATTGCAATGAATGTGAAGATTACAAGGGTTGATTGCTGGTTTATATGGGGTTCTGGATCTAGAGAGGCGGGTGTCTTTCTATTGGTTGTTTCTGTCCTCTTTGTCATTCTATATTGATGGGGCTGTCTAACGTAAACAGAGCCGGAAATTGAAAGTTGTGACATGGTTCATTGCATGCATGTCTGCTGAGGAGGTACTTCAAGACAAAGAGCCATCTGGGAAACATGTTGCATTATAATATAAATTGAAGCACATTACTGTCCTTCTGTTCATAGGCATAACCTTGATTCACATGTGAAATGGGCAAGCCAGGGCAAGCCTATCATCTTTCTTTCTCTTTAGATACACACTTTGAGAGTGAGTTTTGTTTTCTGTGATCACATGTTGGGAGGAGTAGGTATTCTGTGTTATTTGCTACAAATAAATTATGTTAGATGTGTGCAGGCTTCCCAAGCCACCCAAGTGAGTCAGTACTACTGTAGGCCTAGAATTGGTCATGTTGGTAATTTGATACAGGGGCATTACAAAACAAAACATGTTTTATTTCTATGAATAAGACAACAATCATAAGGTGATACGATAGTACATACAATACAAACATACACATTTTTATACATATTTGTATAGAACCACCATGTATTCTGTGGCACAAGGCCAGGGTAGTTGCTAAATGGCCTGCATCCTGCACGAGTACACACCCAGTCTACTTCTACACATGTGAAACAGTCACTAAATGAATGTGATATGATATAGTTTCATTATCACTGGAAAATAATGATAATTTAAGTCACATTTATTACAAATGTATTACATGAGCATGCAAAAGTATGAGATGATGAGGTTCGGTATTTCCCGGTAGTCCCCGTCACACATTCGGTGCTGCGGTGTATGATGTCACTTGCGACATCCCAAACAGCTCGCGCTACAGCCCGAAACAGCTCGACGCAGTCGACAGCTATTTCATTCCGGGAGGTTTCCACACGTTTTTGATCCGGTTCTAGAAAGCTACCCAAGCTAACTGCAAAGTAGAGGTAAGCGTGCACGTGGTGGGTTTGAATAAAAACGGATTTGGCGTTTACTAACTAGCCTATTCATAGAGTAATTTACCATCCTGCACTTTCTGCTTTTTCTAGTAGCTTGTGTGGGCTAGCATTTCAGTCACTCACAAAACGCCTCATCATATACCTCAGTGGCCTCACCACCCCCCTGCTAACTAAGCTAGCTAGATGCAACTAAACATTGAGCCATCTGGGAGATGCAAACCCGACAACAGAACCACAGAGTTTCTAAACCTACTATACAATTTTTTACATAACTGTCAGGGCACCGCCACTTCCTCCCTGGTATAAAATAAAAAGCTTAATTTATAACTTAGTTTATTACAGACTTATCCTTATGGAGGAGGCTAGCTTCATTAGCTAGCTGAGGCAGAAACACGGCTTGTCAGCTTCCTAGCAAGTTAGCTAAGCTTCCTTGCGTTGACTTTGACCGAGCGAGCTCACACAACGACCCATTCAACAGCTAAATGTGCAGCTATTAAATGTTTACAAATCAAATACCCATTTATACATATGGTATGTAATTGACCTTAGTATAGATACATTATTTAATCAATTGTTATTTATTGTCAGTTGGCGACGGAAGACATATTTCGTGTCGGCCAAAGGCGAAGGACCCGCCCAGCACCACGGCCATACAGTTGGAATGCTATTGAATATAATGGCATCGGCTGTTGGTCTAGCCAGCCAAAGCGTTTGTAAACAGCATAGTGGCAAATATTTACATACTTCTAAATTACGGCTTTAAGAATAACCTAAACGAATCATTCTCACGGTAAGCAGAAAGCACACTTAGCAGCGCAGTTGACAGCTATTGTCAGCTGACTGTTCATTGTTTTAGTTATTCAGTCATTGGGTGGTGTCGATGGCCTTTGTCGATATGTCTTTCACCTCGCTTTCAATGCATTTTGATGGATCTCACATTGGGTGGTGGTATTGCTAGCCCTTGTATACCTAATCCTTTCTGATTATAATGGTCTTGATGGTGAGAACCACCAATTGTCTTGATGGTATGAAAAAAATATATTAAAAAAATAATAATGAATGCACTCACTAACTGTAAGTCTTTCTGGATAAGAGGGTCTGCTAAATGACTAAAATGTAATGGTGTGGTAAAGTTCTTGCACTAAATTGAGTTTATACTCACCCAAAACAAAATTAATAAAAATCCAAATAAATGCAAAGTTATCAATATTTGACAATATTTGTCTCTACTCCAACACCACTCAGATGAACAGCTGCTCCTGTCAGCAGTCCACCCTCTTTAGAAGTTTTGCCAAGGCCCTAAGGCAATACAGAAGTGAACAAACACGCCTTGCCAATAAAAATAAAAGATAGATATAAGTGTTGAAGTCACAGGGAGAGGATTTGCCCAGCTGGGTGGGTGATGACCTCTGAGAATTTGGACCACGCTGTGCCTCGCTTGCATCATTGCTTTTGACAGTCCCAACCACCACCCATTTCAAGGGTGGTGGCCAATTGTGGACATGACATAAGCCTTTTCCATCCTCAGTGAGAAATCCATGGAGAAAGTAACAACTACGTCCTCAAAGATTAGCATGCAAGGCTTGTGATCTGTGTTTGCTGCCTTTAGCTGTTTTAGTATTTACTTCTCCTGTGAGCTAGTAAGACCAATTTTCTAGCTGATGGCCTAATTCTGTGCTAATTTATTAATAGAATTTCAGGTCTATTCTCCGAGCTGCGGCCTGAGTGCTGAAAGAATTTCTGCGTTATGGATGAGCCTGTTCAGTTGTCTCCTCTCTGTCCTCATAGTGCGTCTGGTATTTTGCACCAATGTCAGAATTTAGTCTTCCAGTCATCACTCCAGACTAAAGACGTTATGTTCCAAACTCAGGCCTGGTTGCATTTTAGCCCCTAACTCCTTCCAATAGTCCCTAGCCCTACTATGCACAGATCTGAACCGATTGGATGGGGGAATGAAGCTCCGCTTAGCATTTCGGTGGGTTAAGTGGAGCAATCATAATGCTGCTGTCTGTCCCTATCCCTTCAATGATGTAATCACTGGAAATATATAGAATGGAAGGGGCCAGGCAGGAACCAAAATGAACTAACTTCATTAGCTTCTTGTGTAGTCAAGGCAGTTCATCCACCATGCTCAGAAATGTGTATATATTCTAAGCCCACTGACCCACCACCACCCACTTCCCTTCATAGCTGATGCACATTGTTTCTATTGAAGGGTGACAGAATGGGTGTGGCTCAACAACAAACTGCTCAAACCATAAGAGATACCGTAATGAAATACCGTAATGTCCCCTTAGCAGGTCTGTGTTTTGCGTTCTTGATGTGTGTTTTGCATTCTTGATGGGTTCAAGAACACGGTTGAGGTCATCAACTGTCACCAGAGTGAATGAGACACATGACCAAGGACAAATTCACATGAAAAACGTTTAGTCAGCACTCCTCACTTAAATATATACAAATTATATGTTGTATGGATTCCTTTTTAAAGTCCAAACCTCATATAGGCCTAACCCTAAACATATTAACAGTGGACTGATTTAGCTTCCAGTTCCTGGCATATTCAATCGCTTTTTCCCCCAATGTTTGTTTAACATGGTCAGCTATGTGGTTTCTCTGCTGGCTGACTGATAATCACATTTGAACAGAGAATGTGTTACTTAGTGACAGTGAAGTAGTCTAATTTAAAGCACCCCTATCCATTTAGTCACTCCCTGTCTGAAATGGTCAAGGACAGAGGCCACCCTTATTCAGTTATACTGTCCGTATATGTTCTGTTCAGTTTGTCAGTTTTGTTTAAAGGGCCCTACGCAAACAGAGCGCCGGTTATGGTCCGTTCTAAAATTTGAGCCTCACCAAAGTATGCGGGTTATTCTCACACAACTGACACACAAAAAACGAACATTTTCCATCATAATTCCTCTTGGATCACTAACATTAGGATCTTTATTTATCTTTATTTAAACAACACTGAAAACAAATATATTTAAAAGTAAATTATTCAAATGTATTTCGTAATTTCTCATTACTGCAACACAATCTTTTCTGAAGCTTGTTTTTTGTCATAATTATTTGTCTGTACACATCCACTACATGGCCAATGGTATGTGGAAACCTGCTCGTCGAACATCTCATTCCAAAATCATGGGCATTAATATCGAGTTGGTCCCCCCCTTTGCTGCTCTTCTGGGAAGGCTTTCCACTAGATGTTGGAACCTTGCTGTGGGGACTTGCTTCCATTCAGCCACAAGAGCATTAGTGAGGTTGGGCGATTAGGCCTGGCTCGCAGTAGGCGTTCCAATTCATCCGAAAGGTGTTCGATGGGGTTGAGGTCAGGGCTCTGTGCAGGCCAGTCAAGTTCTTCCACACTGATCTCGACAAACCATTTCTGTATGGACCTCGATTTGTGCACAGGGGCATTACCATGCTGAAACAGGAAAGGGCTTTCCCCAAACTGTTGCCACGAAGTTGGAAGCACAGAATCGTCTAGAATATCATTGTATACTGTAGCGTTAATATTTCCCTTCACTGGAACTAAGGGGCCTAGCCCGAACCATGAAAAACAGCCCCAGGCCATTATTCCTCCTCCACCAAACGTTACTGTTGGCACTATGCATTGGGACCGGTAGTGTTTTCCTGGCATCCGCCAAACCAAGATTCGTCTGTCGACTGCCAGATGGTGAAGGGTGATTCATCACTCCAGAGAACGCGTTTCCACTGCTCCAGAGTCCAATGGCGGCAAGCTTTACACCACTTCAGCCGACGCTTGACATTGCGCATGGTGTTTTTAGGCTTGTGTGCGGCTGCACGGCCATGGAAACCCATTTCATTAAGCTCCTGACGAACAGTTCTTGTGCTGTCGTTGCTTCCAGAGGCAGTTTGGAACTCGGTAGTGAGTGTTGCAACCGAGGACAGACGATTTTTTACACGCTTCAGCACTCGGCGGTCCCATTCTGTGAGCT